ATACTAAATAAGGCATATTAATTTAATAACTTTAAAGAACTATCTTTATAATAAGAATCTAACTATAAATATAAAGAAAAGATTTACTAATATATAAAGTAGATAAAGATATTATAAAAAAAAAGAATTAAAAGAACCTCAGAAATTATACAATACTCTTTTAGCTTATAGAACTAAGCTAGTAAAAGGAAGAGATAATATTATAGTATATAAACATGCTAAGCACAGATAAGCACTAAGGGATTACCTAGCACTTTATAAAGAAGCTATAATAGGCTTAGATAAGCCTAAAAGACTCTGAACTACTTATAAGATCAGTACCCTTTAATATAGTGTTTAGAGGTGCTCAAGTATAAGCACTTAGGAACAACGCTTAAAGACGTCTCCGTATAAGTAATGTTATAAGGTGTTTTGTGGTCCTGTCCTTGCCTGTCTAAATCTATCTAGATCTATCCAGCAATAGCCTAATAGGGATTTCCTGTGCCAAGGCACAGGAAATTAGGGCACGTGACCACTAACATGGCGCTAGGCCGCTTTGGGAATTTGGCTGTACATGTACAGCCAAATTCCCAAAGCGGCCTAGCGCCATGTTAGTGGTCACGTGCCCTAATTTCCTGTGCCTTGGCACAGGAAATCCCTATTAGGCTATTGCTGGATAGATCTAGATAGATTTAGACAGGCAAGGACAGGACCACAACAGGTGAACAGTATCCTCCTGCAAGGCGGTACTTCAACATAAGTTAAAGACATCCTAGTATTATTTACTGTACTTCCTGTTCTACCTAACTAACTCACTTAGACCTAGCTTTTAATCAAGACTTATCTTAACTAGTTAAGCCCTAATATACTGTTAAAAGTATTCTTCTATTTTATATCTTCTCTTTTATAGCTTGTTAGGTCTCTTTAGAGGCTTAAGATAATTATTTTTATTATTATAGAACTCTAACTTTTTAGCCTTTAAATACTAATTAATCTAAGCTATAATATAAAGCTTTATACTCTTTTTTTTATGTAGTTCTTGTATATTTTCTGATTTATAATAAATGCCCTTCTCTTATAGAATATATTATTAAAAGACCTCTGATAGATCTATATAAGCTTTATTTATAAAATAAATATTAGCTTAATAGTCCTTAATACTCTTATTTTAGTATTCTTTTCTATACTTCTTTTATTTCTCTTTATTATTTTTTAAAAGCTATTTTATTTATACTAATTTATATTGCTAAGTATAGTTTTTGTAATCTTAAAGAGCTAATTAAAGTGTACAAACAGTACAAGAGAGTCCAAAATGCTCAATTTAATGCTTATAATATTGATTTCGAATAGGGTTTGAAGGAAACAAAAGACGTTAAAGTTGCTCATCTGTAAGCTTTGGCTGTCGAGCTTGATCTTGGCTTGCTTAGCCTTGTTATTGGCCTTGCCCTTCGTACTATGTGGTCTATCGTTATCTTCGATCAAAATAAGATTTTGTCCCATTCTGGAGCAACACAACCTCCTCTAAAATCTTCACATAATCAGCTTGGATAAGCCTCCCGCCTTTCCCTGTGCCTATAGCGTACAGCCAATCCCTGGCGCCGCGTGTCACTTGACTGCGCACGTGCTACTCCGCACATTATATTAGCCTGCTCCTCCTTCTGAGATAGATTCTGCAAGGTAGATAGAATTCCACACATCCACTTCATCACTAAATGGAATCCCAGAGGCCCTAGAGATCTCTGCAGATTATGGGGACTATCAGGGGCCACCGTTAGTGTTCCTCTCTATGGGCCACGAATTACGCAGTGCTAAGCTCAGCTAATGTTTGCTAGCAGCGCTCTAGTTTTTAGCGTATATTGATGACTTTTGATGCACGACGCTGTACCTGTAGTACTCGACTATGCAGCTGGAGTCCTTACTAATCCGTTGCGGGGCATACGAGAGAGCAACTCCCGGCGCTCCCGCAATTATTAATTCTCCCAATATTCTTTTCACCCCTCTGTCAAGCGCTCTAACAGGATGTATCTGCTGCGAGTTTTGAGTCGTTGTGCATTGTTCGTTTTCCCGGCGCTGGCGGAGGTTAGCTCCTTCAACGACTGGCCACATCTGCGGGTTGCTCTGCCCGACGTTAGCATTCATCTTCGTTACTATGGATCGGGCCCTCCGCTGATGCTGGTGCATGGCTTTCCGCAGCATTCCGTGAGTCCATCTTATTGTGATTTTCCAATGCTCTATCTTCTTTTTTTCCCGCCCTCTTCTCTTCCCCCTCTCTATCTCCCCCGGAGATAGCTTCTGATGTCCTTTAAACTACATGCGTAGCCTACTTGGAACATTGTTGGTCCTATCCTCGCCCAGAACTACACCGTTATCGCCCCGGACTTGCGCGGCACGGGCGATTCTTCCATCCCATTCAGCTACAACTTTACCGCCTCGGCCGCCGCTGATGATCTCGAGGCTGTTCTAGACTTCTTGAACATCAATCAGACGTATGTCTTTGCGCACGATAAAGGCACGGGTGTTGCCGCAGCCTTGGCAGCGAAGATTCGGGGCCGTATCAAGCGACTCGGCCTTTCAGAGTATCTGCTCCCTGGACTGAGTTACGAGACGTTACAAGCCCCCACCCCGACGTGGAACCTGTACAGCAACTGGCAGCTAGCCTTCTTCAGCGTGCCTGACGCGGCGCAATTCTTCATCCAGGGGCGGGAGAAGCAGATGCTGTCCTGGTACTTCTACCACGTGGGCTACTCTGGAACCTCCGCTATCTCGGACGACCTACTCACGCTGTGCACGGATTCAATTGCAAAGCCCGGGTACTTGAGGTCGGGACTCGAGTACTTCTCGAACCTCACCGTTGCGCAGGACCCGGCCCTTTTCAGTAGCACGCTGATACCGCAACCGTTTTCGGGGCCGACGCTTGTTTTGGGAGGAGAGGCAAGCTTGTCCAATACGTCGCTGATTGAGCAGCTTTTCTCGCCAGTCGCAAGCGATTTGACCGCTGACATAGTTCCGAAAGCCGGTCACTGGATCGGTGGAAAATTTGGCCGTGCCTGAAATCTGATTTGTGAATTTGCTGACAAAATACACAGCCGACGAGAATCCTGTTTGGTTAGCAAATCGGATATCGCAGTTTTTACAGGCCGACGAAGATATCCCTGGGCTGAATCTGGCGTATCTTGAAGACAGAGTCACATTGCAGTCACCGGTAATCTAAAGGCGTATGTTGCATGAGACAGGCATCTCCTGTAGATACTTTAGCTCGATGAAGAGTTTTGAGTTCAGGTCAGGCCTCGAATTATGCACCGTGTACTTGAAATCAAATTTCGAGAGTGAAAGTGAGTTTGTTAGTATTTGAGCGTTGGTGATCCTTATATCATCAGACGCCTTTCTTGGTGTAATATATCTGTGCTTGGTTGACCTTTGGTGGGCGGCACCAGGAGACTCTGCGGCTTGATATTACCGTGAAACTCCAGAGGAGCGAGATACTTGAGCTGGACCTGCTTCGCGTTGCGACCCGTTACATCAATCCTTTCTCAGATGGTGAGGGAGCACAGATCTGTAGGTAGTCATTGTAGATACAAGGTAGTACTCAACCTTGACACTGCTCAGTACTACTACTATTCCAATTGCTCCAACGCTGACTGGTGACTATTGAGAGTTAGGTGCATCTCCCAGAAGGAACTACCTACCGTAATGGCAGGACTCCAGAAGTTTTCAAGCTCGAATTGAGTAAATCCAAGTCTGCAGGCAAGACTAAGTAGCGAAGAAACCAATACACTCTGTTGTTATTCTTCCTCATCCTTCCACAAAGAGGTATTCCACACGGAAAGGGACGTCTCGGTGTAGGTAAATTCAGTGAAAGCGATGGGTAACTCACGTGGGTCCGACCCAAAATCTGGGATGGGCATGCCTAGAGCCCACGACTCAACCTTCCGATCCAGTCTCCTTGACGGGAACGATCACCACAGTACTACCTAAGAGCATTTGATTTAGTAAACCATGATGTTGTTCTACTAAGCTGCAAACCCCAATGCCAGATGCTGCTGGCCGCTGCTCGGTTGATTCGCTCTAAACGCCACCTCACGCAAGCATGTAGTGTAGATAGTCACCTCTGCCCTGCGAACGTAATTCACACAGGCCTGGAACTGAGCCTTGGGGATCACAAGAACTCGCTCGCCAGGACCCAACTGCGAAAGCCACGCCTCCTTCTCCGCATCACCAACGGTCTAAGGCGTCCGGTCGTAACCTTGCCGGTGCGGCCATGATATTCGCCATCTCGTCCAATCACGACGACGCGTCTTGTTGAGAAGAAGCCGGAGCGGAATGCCCTTTTGCCCTCCTCGCATTTGTCTCCTCACCTCGAACCACGTCCAGCTATTGTCGAAACTGCCAGGGCCGTTCTGAGAGCTCTGATCATGACTAACGATGTAGATTTCGATGCGGCGTACAGGATTCGCATTCCGCCCCACTATCGGAAGGCTTCGGAGATAGACGGGAGTGCGGTCGTTCTCGTCGAAATCATGTTCGCCGTCGCGTTGACTGTCGGATACGATCCAGTATTCAGCGAGTTCCAGGATCAAATTCACGAGTGGTAATGTCTCCCGCCGGAAGCCTAGCATCTTGCTAACATACAGCGCTGCTCGAAAGATTTCGTCGGCCGACAATGGCGTATACGGAGCATGTGGAGCGGACTGGATATTTTGTTGGATTTGGGCGCGCTCCACTTCATCAAGTTCTTTGTATCGGTTGTACCCGGCTGGACTGGCAAGCCAATCCCGACAGTCATCAAAGGGGGGAACCGCTGCTCCGGCGTGAACCAGCAGCTTCGCAGTGGCAGCCGCCTTCTCTTGTAAGGCCAATGCCAGCGGCGTCCTTCCGCTTGCATCTTCAGTGTCCAATTCGCTTCCTGCTGCAATCAACATCTTCGCTACCAGCCCCATATCCTTGCTTGCTGCTAGATGAAGCGCCGTGTGTCCTTTATGATCTTGCACATCAATAGGTGCTCCCATCTTCAACAAATGGCGAACCACTTCTAGTTTTCTTGCCTGCGAAGCCGTTTTCTCTTGCAAAGCCAGTGCCAACGGTGTCCTTCCACGCACATCTTTAATGCCTAATCTACTTCCTGCTGCGATTAACGTCTGCGTTACGACCGTCAAACCATTGCTTGCCGCTAGATGTAGTGCCGTGTATCCTTGGTGATCTTGCGCATTGATCGGCGCTCCAGTCTTAAGCAGATGGCGAACCACTTCGAAATGCCCATTGGAAGCTGCCACTAGTAATGCAGAAAAGAGGTCATCATGCTGCGCAGCGAAATTTATTTTCGTTGTCAAAGCTACAACACTCTCTATCGTACCATCTTCCGCAGCGTTGACCAGCGCGCGTCTGAATAGACGATCTGCATGTTGGGAAGCACCGAAAAAGTCTACTAGGACACGGAGGACTTCCGGATGACCCCTTGAAGCAGCATCACAGAGGGCTTCTTCCTGTGTTATGAGCCAGTCTCGGTCAAGCCTGTTGAAGTACGACTCCAATACTTCGAGTCTGCCATTCCAGGCAGCGACACGGAAGGTGTTTGCGGTAATTGGTCCCTTGAGCGAAGACTTTAGCAAGGTCGTGCTGAAGGAGAGCTTCAGTGGCACGTTTGTGGCCATTTTGAGCCGCTTGATGAAGTGGATTCTGCTGCATGAAGTCGACTAGTTCAGCCATTTCATGCCTATCCCTGACGGCGTGAGAGTAGAGTGGCAAAAATTTGTCAAGCGACTCAGTGTCTTCAGAATCAGCAGCAATATTCAAAGCAAGCCTCCCAAGAATGTCGCGAGCCCATAAAAGACTCTCCTGATTGCCTCTTCTGAGAAGAATGTCAACATGCCCGGAGGGCCCATGTCGGATAGCCAGTTGGAGAGAATGCCAATCCGGTTCTCTTTGAACCTTGATGGAAGGATCTGCACCATTGTCTAGGAGAATCTCCAATGCCAGTGTCCTCCGAAAGACAAGAGCTACATGTAAAGGTGTATGTGCAAGCTCACTGTATTGCTTGATTGGTCGCTCAACGCCTGGTTGTTCCACAAGTATTTTCAGGACGGCTTCATGGTTTCCTCGCGCCGCCCAGTGCAAAGCGTTGCCAGAACTATCCTGTGATCGGAGGTATTCACCTGGTGAAGCCCGGAGTATGTGCGTCAGGGCATGGTCAAGACCACAATATCCGACCAGATTTATGCCTCGCATTTTGCCCTTTGTTGGTTGTTCGGCGCCCCAAGCTCCCCATTTGTGCCTTCCTATCCAGTCACTACTAGTCTTGTACAGCAGGACGCGTACAGCACAAGCGAGATTTTCATCCTGTTGCAACAAATCCATGATATCGCTTAGGAGCTCTTCCTGGTGCTCAGTGCCGACTTCCCTGGCGTGGTCACCCGAGTGGACTGCTGCGTACTCGAGGAAAGGGTAGACTTTCAGCAGGCGCTGGATGTGGTCATCCTTAGACCAGCGCTCGATCCGTACGTTGGGAGACCTCAAATACGTCAGACACTTTTTAAGTAGGACTAGTTGTGCCTGCGCGATCTGGGTAGCGTGGGACTCATAGAGATAATCACGAGTCGTCTGATGACCGAAGCGGACGATTTGGCTGATCTCGTCAACGACTACCACGCCCGCACAGCTGCCAATCAAGGCTCTTTCCGTTATTTCGTCCTCAGGGCCCAGCGAAACGTCCTCCAAGTCCAGAGAGATGACGGATTGTAGCTGCTTGACAGTGAGTGGACTCTTCGCAATACACAGTGTAAACAGAACCTCTTTTCCGATGTCAGCATCCACTGTTGCCTGTCTTTCGATTCTCAGGAGGGAATTGTCGTAGGCTTGTTTCAGGTTTCCCGGAGGATCGTCCAGCTTTTTTCTGAGCTTCGACAGCGTTCGCTGAGTTTCAATATCGTCCATAAGCAACTTAGCCATCAGAAAACTGTAGCACAAATTAGTTGGGCTAACTAGCAAAGGCGTGAAGGAACGGCACATACATCCCCTGAGAGCTCTTAAGGACCATATCCTTAATTAGATCGCCCAGATCAGGTGCCTGCACTACAAGATCCATGTTGGCACTGCCTGTGATCCTGCTGTGAACATATTCCTGTAAGTCCACATTATGTGCTTCGATCCGCAAGGCTTCCGCTTTTATCAAACGATACGCATTTCTGATGCGGAGGTCTGGTCGCGATGTGATCAACGTGTTCGCCAATGGCAGCAGGCTCACCAGGTCCTCGACAAATTGCATAGGATGACGGTCTGCAAACTCGTCCAAAGCATCAAGAATCAGAAAAATCTTCCTATAACGCTGAGCTTCATTCGCTATCATCTCCTTCCATTTCGCCTGATCGGGGAGTATGCGCTGCTCGACGTATCTTTTGTCCAAGAGAGCAATCTCTTTGTCGCTGAATTGTCGCCTGGACGCCAGTCGCCTCCACAGGCTTCCTAGGCAGTCAGTACGACTTCGCTCACGACTGTTATCAAAGTAAATCTTCAAGACTTGTGTATGGTTGTCTTGAGCATAGCGAGCACTCAAGTCGTGGACCACGATGGTTGCGAGGACTGTCTTTCCTGCGCCCGCAACTCCAGACCACCAAAGACGGGCGCCCTTGATACTATACCAATCCTGATACTCTCTGGATCTTTTGAGCCATTCACCTGAAGAAGGATGCCATTCCCACATTCCCTAGAATCCATCATGATCTCGTCAGGCACGAGGGACTTGATGACAGCCGTCTGCGCCTGAGATGCGATGAAAACTTTAAGTGCCTTGCCAGTATCTTACAATTTCTCAATGCCTAAATGCAATTGCTGCACTCTGGAGCTCAATTGACGAATGTAACCGCTCAGGTTTTCCAATGTTGAGGATATGGAGCTAGAAAGCTCTAGTATGCCACCCATCAATGCCGTCTATAGACATTGCTCGAGTGAGTCGATCTGGACGAGGATAGCCTCAGCCTTCTTCCTGTGCATAGGCCAACGAAACTTTTCTGTCCAACCAAGCTTTTCTCTCCAACCAAGCTGACCCTGGAGATGATTGCTGAATTCGTTAAATGCTGCCTCCAGTCTTGTGAATACCGGGTTTAACCTCTCAATTTCTGCCTTCCATCGTTCTCCTTGCCGTTGCTGGGTGCTTGTTCGTTCACTTTGAAACGAACCTCTTGAAGGAGGTAACGAATGGTTCGCGCTCGGGACGAGAACTCAAGAGCTTCTTTATCTGCATCCTTGACCGCTTGAATAAAGTCGACGGCTTTAGAAGCTGCTTCAATGAGGCGAACAATTGCAGACGCAGCACCAAGTACCTCCAATCCAGACATTCTGCACAGTTAAAGTGCTTGATTTCTTGAAGCGGCAGACGGGAAGAACAAGGAAGTTTAAAGCAACAACCGTTATGGCCGACTTGCGGCTTAAATGTATTGCCACATCGGCCATCAATTTGACTAACACATTGGTTTACCAATGGCAGTATTTGGGAAAGTGTCAAGGACAGCCAGCTGTAGAACCCAAAAATACAGTTTGCGCTTATTTTGCTACGTGTGTCACCAGCGTTTTGTTACAGATTTGATACGCGTTTTGCATCAGCCACGGATGTATTTTTGGTATCTGCGTTTCGCGCTATTTCGCTTGATATTGCAACTTTGTACGTATAAATGCGCGCTCCTCGCACTGAATTAGATAGAACAACTTGCTATTTCCACACTGATCCGTCGATTAGTCAGCACTGTTCGTCACCAGCCTTCTGAGACGACCCATGGCAGAAGCCATGCACACGCACGACAATGCATGATGATGTGTGATGTTGGTGGTAATTGAGAGGTGAAGGATTTATGGCCCCCCTATCTCTAGAGACTGCTAGGGTCCGGAGGTCCTCTTTAGGCCATTTGACGTGGCTCACAGGTCTGTTTAGTCAAGTTTCACCCATCCGCCCCTTCAGACGATCCTTATGTTTCTACTAACAACTAACAGTGTACTAAGACAGGAAGGGCTAGTGAGCTTTTACTTATCCTCATTAGCGTATATTGATAACTTCTGATGCACCACTCCATACATTATCCATCCATCCAACCATCCAGTTGGTCAAACCGGCCACCAAACGAGCATCAGAACATTCATTCATAGGTCCCCAAACCTATCCACAGCAAGCAGAGAACCAATTCAAACAGCAAAATATATATATATATATATATATATTTCGCCCAAATCTCAACGCACAGAAATCCAATTGCTCTAACTGACATTGCAGTGCAGCAAGCCAAGATCCCCCTCTACTCGATTCCAACCACTGCAAGGCCCATCGATGTGAGCAAGCTGATGACACCATCTCTGGACCCCACCCTGGCTCTGCTGTTCCGTGCCTCCTAACACTAAATGGCCATGTTGGCCGACTGACCGCAAGACAGACCCCTCCAGCATGGAATTGAGCTGGAAGAAAGCGAAAGAGAGAGAGAGAGAGAGAGAGAGAGAGAGACAGCCCAGGGATATGATCCTTAAAGGCGCTGCATGAACGATACCATACTCGGATTGAATAAATCGGGTCAGGCGACGCACATCCTACAAAGTGTATCCTGGGTAAGTAGACTGAGTGAGTGACTGGCTTGACAAGTTCTCGGCGCACTGGAACGGACGCTCATACATACCACTAGTACTTCTCTATTACTGCCAGGCTACTAATATCTGGTGGCTACGTTGAGTAGTCAGTTCCCAGTTCGAGACAGTGCTTTCATCTGGATACTTAACGACTCATACCCAACAAACGATCTGTATTACAGTAGCGATCAAGAATCACATTGGGCAGAGCGAATCCCTAAAGGATGGCTGTACAAATACATATTCATGATTGTTCCTCATTAAGATTGTGCATTAAGTATTTCATGTCTCATATCTCCTAGCTCCATGCGTCAAGTCTCATTGTCTCTTTATATTTTCATAGCTCATAGCTGAATACTCTTGACCGCGTACCAACTTCCCACCGATCATCTTTGTTCTTTCGTCTCTCCCCTTACCTTCCTTCTCTTACTCATCTCCTTTCATTCCATGTTTAAGCATCGTCTACCTTCATGCTTGCAGTCATCTCATCTTCGTGCGCGTCAACAGGTTCGTGGACTCATCTGCTTCGTCGCATACCCTCTCCACACCCCTTCCCAGCGACCATTAGAAGGGTACCTCCTAAGAAGAAAAATCCCCCCGGCTCATTCTTCCAGGCCATCAGAGATTTCTCCTCTAATCCGGGCTTATTTTCTGATACAGCTGATTCGCATCATTATACACAATCAAGTGGCTTAACGCAGCCGTAAGTCGTAGCTTTATTTTTTGTCGATCGCTGCTTGTAACCAAACCCTTCTCCTTCAGCATCCTCGTATGCTCAAACAGCCCATCTCGCAACTCGTGGTCGACTTATCTCTTGGTAATGATTCCCCCCCCTTCGCAGGGATACCAGTCCGCTTCAGCCCGAGAGGCGTCAGGGAAAAGGATGCCTCGACCGGTCCCATTCCTATAGCAAACAGAAGTGGTCTAAATTTTCAGGCGAGAGATGTTTACGGTGGATCTTCATAGACATAGGTCTAGACAACTTGATCAGTAGCAGCTAGCGATCCGAGGATGAATCCCTATTGCGTCTCCGATGTGGGCACTTCGTTGATGTGAGCAGCAGAATGACCTACCACCAGTTGTCAATCACTCCACATTTCACTGATCCAGCCGCTGATGGGACATACCAGCAGCTTCAAATCACTCCCTTGCTTTCGCCCCGGGAAGTCTCGTCTCACGCGAGGCCTCCTTCTCTTCGTTCTCCTGCTCCTCTATGCTGTCCAGTACCTGCTTCGCCATGGGACCAAGCTCATCCTTGACTTTCTCTTTCTTTTTCTCCTCCTTCTTGATCAACCTCAAGTACTCCATCACATCCCTTCCCGCAAATCTCCCATCGAACACAGGCTGCATTAGGTCGTACAGCACCATTGGATGCTCCTCTACGAACGTCCTCGCTGCGGCTGATTGCGTGTCTGTGTTTAGCTGCGCCAAGGGTCCGGAAGTCTGTGATTTGAGTTTATCGAGAGCCTTTTGGGCGGAGCGGGCGAGGTCTTTTGCTTCTTCGAGGCGGTGGTCCGCTGTAGCGGCAGGTGTTGAGACCATGCCGGAGGTGGGAAGGTGCTGACCCGTCCACCGTGGTGGGTGTGCTGATGATACTGATGCTTCCTTCGGTTGAGCTTGATCTGCTTGCACCGACGGTGCCGATACCGATGCTTCCTTGGCTGGTACTTGTTCCGTTGCTGCTGCTGCTGCTGCTGCCGCGGTGGTAGCTGCCTCTGACTTCGAGGTCGGGTGCTGCGAAGCCTGCGAGCCTTCCTCCATTAAGAGAAGAATTTCGCTGAGGAGAAATTGGGTCCTCGCAAGCGCAACCTCGCTACATGAACCTGGTCGGACCTTCTCTATCTCCAGTATTGTTCGCAGGCAATTTTCAGCATCTGGCAAATTCCCGAGATAGAACAGGGTAGCGCCGAGCGCGTAATAGCTCTCCAGTGTCAAAAAGGCGAATTTGCCATGGAGCAGAAGTCGGGCAGCGAGGATGTCTTTGAGCATGTCAACAGTTCTCGACTGCCATGAACTAGATTCGAGGAACTTGGGATGCTGGAGTAGCAAGCACGCAAGGTCGAACTTCCATCGATAGTAAGCTGCACTTTTGCCAGTGGCTTGCTCAACGTAGACGAGACCCTTCTCAGCACTAGCCACCGCTTCGTCCGCGGAGCCACGGTACATAAGACAGAATGACACATGGTGGTAGTATTTTGCGTACTCGTACGGAATGACGTTTGTGCTTCCCCAGTCCTGGTACTGCCGGAAACATCTCTCGAAGATGAACTCGGCCTCTTCGAACATGTTGATTTGCAGAAGGACGCATGCGTAGTCTGACCAAGCATTATACAGTAGAACCTCATCATTTCTGGTATAGGTCAATGCTTCACGATTGTCGCTATAGTCTCTGCGGATATCAAGGGCAGTCTTGATTCGGTCGTGGCATTCGCCAATATGTACGAGGCCAGAATCCTGCAGCAGCAGCGAAATGATAACATGAATGTCGGCACGGAGTAGCTGGAACTTATCAACCTTTAGAAGGTCCAGTATTGACTCAGCAGTTTTCATGAGCTTCAGTCCTTCTGTGGTTAAGCCTCGCTCCCAAAGATCGATGCCGCCGTCAGAAAAGAGTTTCGCTAGCTCTTCAGTAAACGGAAGGTGAATTAGAGTTCCAAGCGTTAGACGCTGGATACTTAGAACATGGGGCAAGTATTTCTTACACATCGGCCACTTTTCTGGCTCAGGCACCTGGATTGGCGAGGCGCTGGGAAAGCGGGAACGCACAAGCGAAAATACCTGATTGAAAACGCCCCCGCGCGAAAAAGGGTCCTTGTCGAGGTCTCGTAGAATTCTCGCCTGCAATTTACGATGAATGCTGATAACTTCTTCGCCGTTTTTGAACTCGATCGCAATCAATCGGCGTGTTTTGAGCTCGTTTGTCATACGCCTATATCTGCAGGAGAGGTGAGTTCATCGAGGACCTTCGAGTGAATCGCCCGGAGGACTTACCTGCCAGCTTCGGAGACGTGAAGCAACTCAAGCATGGGATCTTCGTGCGGTCCAACCAACAAGTCTTTCTGGATGTGGTCAGGGTCTAGGAAGGCAAGGATATTAAGCAGCTTTCGAGCGTCGCTGGTTACTTCTCGAAGCCCGATGTCCCACAGTGTCTCCATTGCCTCATCGGTCTCCGAGACAGGGCACTTTGAAGACTGTAATGATGTCCGAATATTCTTCCGCCTCTCATTCCACAGGTCGACAAAGTCGGCCAAGGTGCAGCGTGATACCATGACGTATCCGGCGATCAAGGACAATGCCAACGGTAGCCTGTCAGCACGTTTCGCAATCTCTCCTGCGAGTCTGTATTCCGGATGTGACTTCGCGTCCTGATGATGCGGCCCAGGGGTTGCTGATAGAAGGAGCCGTCGGCTTTCCTCCAACGTTAGCGTCCCAAGATTAATCTGAGTGAAGGTGAATGGTGAGCTTGCCAGTCCAATGTCGCCTTTATTTGTGGTAATCAAGACTGATCCGGCTGTCCTGGCCATATCAATTGGTAGAAATCGACGGAGATCGAGCTTTTGGTCGACATTGTCGAAAATTAGAAGCCACCTATCGGTTGTCTGTTCCAAGAATTCTTGACTAAGATCGACAAGTCTCTGCTCGTCGAAAGAAGGCAGTGGAATTCCTTTCTGCGCGGCCGTCGTGATTGAAATCTGAGCAAAAGTATCGGCACAAATCATGGGCGTTTCAGCCTCTACCCAGAAGATATACGAATAAGCGACCGCGAACCTGTATGTATACTCCGCTGCAAGAGCCGACTTGCCCAAACCACCTATTCCGTTAAGTACACAGATGTTTCCTGGTCTTGACAACTCCCGATGAACGTTGTCCAGATCACCGATGCGGCCAACGAAGTCAACATTTCTCGGAGGTGGATTTGTTCGAACGGTCTCCCTAGGGGTAGAGGAAGCTCCCACGGGAGGCGTTTGTGGTTCCTGCTCTGCGCCCAGTTCTTTGGCCTTTTGTTTTCTCGCGTTGGATAGGAAACTGTAAGAGGGCCCTCGACCTTGCATAGGTGGACGCTTCGACTTTTCGATCCTGGTTGACTTGCCTGCTTCACTTCTTGACCACTGCGAGATAATATTCTGTCCAAAAACCTGTTTTTGGGCTGCGTCTGTAACGTGCTCTCGGAATACATCCGGCGAATAATACTGTGATTGAGAGAAGACAAACTCCTCCAATCGAGCATAATCCGCAGGAGACGCCTGGTCGATGGGGGACGCGGGTATTTCCTCTTCTGCCTTCTCATCCGGCTCGATCGAGCATAGTGCCAGCTGTTCTAGATGTCCAGCGACATGAGTTCGAAAAGAATCAACACTGGTGCATTTCAATGCACAGAGCGCGCAATCAAGGTCAGGGGGATCCCCCGTGAATCTCTCGCAGAAGCTCGACAATGCCGGCGCTTGCTCAGGGTGAACTTGATGTGCGGTTACTAAGTGAGCTTCAAAAGCTCCACTGTGCCCAAAGTCTTCCTGGCAGAGCTGACAAGTCCAGATTCTGGCTAATCTGTGGACGGAAAGCTCATGCTTCAGCCAATCAGCAATGGATCCGTAAGTTTTTGTCGCATGAAAGCATGGCTCCGAGGTACAGATGTAAGGCTCCAGGTCTGCAAACACATGCGCAACCCAGTCCGCACTAGTCGAGACTTCGAGAGAAGTGGGCAGTTCAAGGTTTGCCTCGGACTTCAATGGTGTATTCCCAGCATCCGCACAGGTAGCTTTGGTCTGATCAAGCCATCTTCGACGTAGCTCCGCACAGGTTTCTCCCACAACAATGTCGAGGCAACAATATTGACATCGAAAAGTGGCGCCCTTCTCAAGAGCGACTGGAGGAGCTGGCACAGTCAGTTGACTAGGTTTTCCACGATCATCAGACTCTGCAACCGAGGTGGCTGTCTCAGCAGTCAGAGACTCGGATTTTGACCAAAATGTACTGGTGTTCGCCGTTGAATCACTGGTAGACGTTCTCCTGCTATTGATTCTGCCAAGAATTGAACGATGAGAGGGAGGGAGTTTCGAATTGAACTGATTCTGAGCTGTTGGTAATCTCTGAGATAATATCAAGGGAAATTGACGGTTGCTTCCAGGCGTTATAGCCATCTGGTGGGCCGATGACTTCTCCCTACGCAACCGAGCTCGCAGTGATCTGAGAAACAGGCGACGCTGCCAGTTTGCTTTGCCGAGGCGGCATGCCAGCAAATCTGATGCCTTGGGAAACATCCTTCTTGCGAGATAGATCTCTGTCTCGGTTCCATTATCATGGATATCGGCGTTGAAGAGATCCATGGGGGGTGGATTGCCCAGAGTAGGGGATAATCGTTCCAGAAGGCTCAGAGTGTGGCATATGTCTTCGAGCTTGGGTTGTAAATCATCTTCGCAAACAGGCCGTGCCCCGAGCCCCGTCCGGTCGTTAGGAGATCTGTCGAAGTAGGATGTTTGTGGGTAATCAAGTAACGCTGGACTTAGTAGGGGCAGAGCGGCGATCTGTACAAGCTCCAACGCTGGAGGCATAGGCTTAGCACCACCACAACAACAAGCATTTTCAGTCAATGAATGAAGGCGGAAAAGTACCTACTGCTCTGAAGAGTCGCTTTGAAGCCTTCAAGAAGCTCAAGGACCTCATCCCGGAGGTCGGAGTTCTTGTGGAGGGCATAGTCCAGAGCTCGTGTAGCTGCACCAGTTCTATATCCCCACTGATGCAAGGTTTTGCGATACTCGCATACCGCAGATGTCGTGCCTGACCATGCAGCCACATTGGCCTGCATGGCAGAGCAAAGAGATTGGTATGTCTCCATGCAGTCTTCGAATTCTGCGGCGATGGTGTTTGCCGCGACCGCGGTACTCGCTCTGGGATTGGCCATGCTTCGAGTCAATTTCGGACGTCTTCATCTGGTTTTGCAGTGCGAGTATGTATTGTGAGATATTGTTGACTGGGGTCATACTACTATGTTGGCGGTGCTGAGTTTGAGACTATGACGCTTCAAGACCTAGCAGCCTGAACCATGTCTGTGGGAGCCACCCACTTCTCCATTAGCCACAATCACCGCCTTCGGCCAGTGCAAGTCTATGCGGGGCAAGCTCCGCCTATGGGAAAGGGCTTAGCCGCAATAGCAAGATCTTTCATTTTTCTTTCAAGGCGTCTTCCTCGTCTCCAAAGAAGCTCCCAGAATGGCTGCCCATCATGAAATGACATCAAGGGCGACGCAAGGATGAGCGGCTTCGAGGTCGCGGGGGTTGTCCTCGCGCTGTTTCCGATTATAGTGGATGGGGTGCGTACCTACAAGCATCTCACAAGCGGCCAATCACTCGAGTACTTGATCAAAGACATCCTTGCAGAACAAATAATATTTCGGAGCTGGATGGGGCATCTGTTAATGCCAAGTGTGTCTGTCGAAGCGCTGAGGGACATGCTCGACCCTAAATCGAATAAATTTGGCCGCTGGCAAGATCCGGGCCTGCAGTCAGCGGTCCAGCAATCATTTGGGACGACCACAACAGCATTTCTGCTGGTTACGCTCAATGATATTCACAAAGAGCTGTGCGCCATCAAAAAGGCGCTCAGCTACACGACACTACCAGATGCGGTAAGTCTAAAGCTCGTCGGCGCTTCTCTCCGCTTAGTTAATGATTCTGTGCAGAATACAATAGGCAGCCGCTTCAGCTATACCTTTCAAACAGCTCGACACACACGGGAAGACTCGGGGGTGAGGAAACGACTTCAGCGTCTTCAAGAGCTCAATGCCAAGTTAGGACAGGTCTTCGCAGTTCCCAAAGCGAACGCGGCACCCAGCGCCAATGCATCGGCCTGCCTCCCCTCTGTCTCGGGCCTAGAGCATGCTACCAATGTCTACCAAACCATTCGCAAGAGCTATCAGTGCAATTGTGAGGGTCCTCATCTGACAAAGCTTCGCCTTCCGCCCTTGAAAAGACGGAAGATTCGCTCTTACCATGCGAGGGGCGACCGCAAGAAACCTGTTTTGAATTTATTGTTCTCGGTCGAAGAGCCTGGGGATGACTATGAATCAATACAAGCGCCTCTCAGGATTCAGTCTGCCAGCCCCACAAGGCCTTCTGACCACAGTCTGGTGTCAACGGGCACATCTGATGAAGACTTTCGGATCGAAACGAGTCGATTTGCTATGTACAAACGAGCATCGAGTTCTGAGCTGTCTAAAAGCTTTTCCGACTTGTCATTGGTGGGCAGCAACATTTCTACGAACACCACTGTGACGAAATTTAGCGGCTCAAGAAGCTGTTCGATTTCCGTGGTCAAATGTATAAACCCCGCTGTAGAACAAATAGTCGACTTGTGCAAGACAATTAAGTCTGTGGACGTTTCCGAAGGTGGGCAGCAAGACAGCAAAAGCATTGGGGCATTACCGACAGTGGGCACTGATACTTATGAGCTGTTGGCCGATCAATCGGAGAAGGATTCATCGGTGCAGAACATGACGACGTTGGAGGACATCTTCACAAGTAACTCATGCAAGCTGGCCAGAGGAGTTCGCGTTGAGCTCGCTGTGCACTTAACTACTGCAGTCCTCCAACTTTGCTTGACTCCTTGGATTACCAGCTCATGGTCTTGGGGAGACTTCTCAATAGCGGGTCTGGAAGGCCGACAGCTCGACAATCTCAGCCTCTTCATAACCCATCAATTCTATTCGCAATACAAAGGCCATTCAATATCTTCCATTTCTGACCAAAGTGACTCAAGCCTTCTGAGGCTGACTCCAGGGGAGCCCGCTGTTACGCGACTGGGTTTCGCGCTCATTGAACTTGCATTTGGCAAACGTCTTGCCAGTATGCAAGGCCAATTTCAGAACATTAGCGGCGATCCTTACTATCGGGATCTCGCAATCGCCGCTGCTTTGATGAATTCGGGCTGTATTCTACACGAAGAAGGTGTTCGATACCATCAAGCGGTCTTGACCTGCCTGAAACAAGAGGTGCAAACACCAGATGGCTACGGCAAGAAGTCACTCAGCTTCAAGGACCCCATCTTCCAGCAGGATGCTGCGAACGCGATCCTCAAGCCTCTTGTCGACTTGTGGACTGATTTTGGGGGTGGAAGTGAGCCGTTGGCATAATTGATGCTAGTGATTCCCTGTGGTTGGTCATCTCAGAGAGATTTTCACTTGGATTGAATGTAAATACTGTGCACTCTGTCGGAGATTCAATTATACAATTATAATGTTGAAGTCTGATACTGCAGCGACCGCTTAGCGGTTTATCCTGCTTTAAAAGATGCGGGCCCTTTACATCGTTTGTGAGGAGAGGTTCTAATCTGCCTCGAGACAATGGCGTGCCTAAGGTGCACAGAACGGCAAATGCAGCTTTGGGACGGGCTGACTGGGTTATTCCGAGATGATGACGAAACTGTAATCATAACATCCATGCACGAGTTAGCAGCGGCCTATGTGATCTGTGTAGGCGCCAAGGTCAGGGCAGGAAGTTCGGGGGGATCGATAACTAACTTATCTAGTATTAAGGCATGGGGTTAGCTGCATCGGGAGGGGTACACTCCCTACACGTCAAGGATACCAAATAAACGAGAGGCTTCTGCATCCGAACTGATCATTGGTTTCCGAGAAAATATTGAACATGTTGGGTACGCACTTGATACACCATCAATTTGGACATTGATGCTGACTTCGGCAGACAGCAAGGGTGTCGAGACCAGACTTCAGACGACGGCCAAGTCCTCAGACCCTCTCCCCTCTTGGGTTGCAGAAACAATACGCGCCACCGAGCAGGACACACGCACCCAGCCGTGGCGACTTGCGTTCAGGGACCAGGCGAATTGCCGCTTTGACGACGGGAAGGATCTGGTCAAGGTCGAGAAAAGTGTGGGCGGCACGCTCGACCCTTCTTGTCCATTCAGAACTCAGGGAAGCAGCTTGGCTGCATGAGCTGGTACTGTACATACAATAATTTAGTCTCCAGCCGACTTATTCATATTCAATAACCGATGCCGAAGGATGCCTGGAGAGGTTGTGGATGTTGGCAGGAAGGGCTTTGATTCTGATGGTGGGCTGGAGGAGACTGAAGGCGCAGATTCATATGTTCTGGCGTCAATGAAGTTCCTACAATGGCAGTCGCTTTATGAGGTCGAAAAGCCCTTCCAGATCTTCATTAACATCCCAAGTCATGTCGAAGACAAGCGAACCACGAATCTCGTCTTCGAGGATAACCAACTGAAGGTAAAGGACGTTCGAGCCAGTGAGACCAATTTCTCCCTCGACCAGCATGGATTCATGTACTGCAACCACGAGACCGCCTTGAGAGATTTCACAAATCGAAGGCATGTTGAGGAGAGTTACCTACCAGAAGTTGAATCTCTGTTGCGACAGGAAGCGGATGGAGTGGATGAAGTTTTCTTCTTTGACTGGAGAGTCTGTGCAGACTCGTATCCCGACCCTGGCCGATCGGGATGCTAATTCCATCAAAGCTCAGAAAGAATGCCCCAGAGGTCGAGGGTGCCGTAATCGATTTGAATGACTTGACAGAGTGGCTCCGACCGGCCATGCATGTTCATGTTGGTGAGTGTCCCCTTGATGCTCGACTCACACCATTGAACCAGTTCTAGACCAGAGTCCTGCCGCAGTGCTCAACCGAATCCAACTTCAACTCAGCAAAGATGCCGATCGATTGCTGAGAGGCAGAGTGAGGGTCCTGAAGTACGTCGCATTGAGTGCATTTGATCCAAGGCACTGACTGGATTCAGTGTTTGGCGGCCTCTGATTGACTGCGTGGAAGACTGGCCGTTGGCAGTCTGCGATGGTACTACAGTTGAGACATCGGACCTTGTCGAAGCCGATCATGTTCGCAGACAGTATACTGGCTCGACGCTCTATGTCAAATTCAACCCTCGACAGAAATTCTATCACATGAGCAAGCAGAGGCGAAACGAAGTTCTGATCTTTAAAAACTTTGACTCCGACCTAAGCAAGCCGGCCTCATGTGAGTATTCCTATGTCTAATACTCGTTGGGATGCCGAGCTAAACGAAAGGATAAAGTTGCGCCGCACGCCTCATTTTGCAACCCACATACCCCAGAAATCTTTATCCCGCGCCAGAGCATCGAAGTGAGGGCATTGGTTTTTACGAAGGCAGCTTTAGAGATCTGATGATGTGTAGCCAGACACGAGAGCACGGACGATGCCAATACATTGAGATGTCCTGCTTGCGATGACATAATCAAAGGATAGGGGTAGGGAGATGTTGACTTGTTGGCTCTAGCCCTAGGCTGTGAAAGAGCTGAAATTCGAATGGCCCGATCAAAGATTATGAAGCCCCTAAGGGATAGTGAAAGTTTCCAATGAAAGGACCAGATGAATGTAGCCGTGAGAAGCATATATTGTAAGCAGTGATTGCCATCACCAGTCCTATGAGACATGGCCAATCAAGTTCAATGCATTACCTCCTTGATTTGCAACTTCGTATATTGTGTTACGCTCAAATCTTCTGCCCTCTGTTCTCGAGATAAGTTGCAACAGGGAACAGAAAGACGGAAATGTGCTCGCGATATTTGGGCACGCGAAGTCATGCGACCTTCGATTTAATTCGCTACGTTAATAATTCCCTCCCCCCTGGCGTAACTCTAGATATGAGATCCAAGCCCAGCCACCATTAAGTTGGATATACCTCTACACATAGACAGTCGATATTTTCGAAGAGAAGCGGCGGCGCTCAGCACTCCTGAGTAATTCGTGGGTGAGTGCTGTATGATCCTGCCTCAGGGTAGCCTCTTGTCAACAGTCTCCAATATAGCCGTTCAGCGCCACTCTGTTCATTTAAGAGAAATGGGTATTCTCTACGCTGGAGCTTCTTCCGCCACCGCCCCCTAAAGCCGGGGGAGACATCTTCCCCTTCTCCACTATCTTCCCTCTCGTCCTCCTTTTCCTCCCGCCCTTCCCGCCCAATTCATATAGTCGAAGTACTACTTCTTTATTCTCTGACACTTATCTTATTAAGAAAGATAGCCTCCTCGGTTTCCGAAAATTTAGTTTACGCTGGTGGAATTCCTCCGTAGTAAATACGCATACTGTCCATTGCGAAACTCTTGCAAATATTTGGAGGCTGTGCGGAGTTGCTGGCGCTGCGTGGTCAAACCAAAACCAGCTCTTGCGGCTTACTTACGCATCTAGATTGTATAATTTCTATATCAAAATGATGCTGAGCTTCTTCTGATTCTGGTAGTATAGATAAACAGTCTTATACGGAGGGCCTATAGATTGGCGTGCAGCCAAGCAGAAAACGGTTACAACCTCCAGTACTGAGGCGGAGCTATTATCTCTATCCACAGCCGGTAGAGAGGTAATTTGGTGGCGCAGATTTTTCGACTCCGTTCAATTCGATATGCATCAGCACGTCAAGATCTACTGCGATAACATGCAAACTATACGTATCTTGACGAAGGAGGCTGTTAAACTCGATTCGAAGCTACGGCACGTCGATATCCACCGCCACTGGGGCTGCGCCAGGAGATACAGAACGGCAAAATCGACCTAGAATGGATACCAACAGCAGAAATGCCCGCTGACGGCCTCACGAAGCCACTCCCTGCGCAGAAGCACGCAGCGTACGAAGCCACTTCCTGCGCAGAAGCACGCAGCGTTCGTCGAACAGCTCAATTTAGTCGATATATCGACTCGTTTGGCGGCAGAACCGCAGCAGGCGCAGGCGCCGCAGCACACAGAAACAGGGCCGGATATCGAAACTCTGCGCTATCCCTATTTAGGCGATACATAGCAGCATCGTGAGCTTCATACCAGGCTCAATCCGGCACGCTTTGACCCTGGGGGGGTGTGTAGAACCCAAAAATACAGTTTGCGCTTATTTTGCTACGTGTGTCACCAGCGTTTTGTTACAGATTTGATACGCGTTTTGCATCAGCCACGCATGTATTTTTGGTATCTGCGTTTCGCGCTATTTCGCTTGATATAGCAACTTTGTACGTATAAATGCGCGCTCCTCGCACTGAATTAGATAGAACAACCTGCTATTTCCACACTGAGATCCGTCGATTAGTCAGCACAGTTCGTCAAGAAGCTAATACACTCCTAAACGGCTCAATTTCTCGAAGCACCGGCTTACACCCACAACGGAAAAACTTAACTTGGCTAAACCTCGGACATGCAACGCAAAATCTGACACTGTGCCGGTAGTCGTATCTTACTTGTATCCGACAAAAGCGCTAAACTGTTACCATTGTTGTTGCTGGGTCTAGACTAAGGTTGGCTCATTCTGGGATGGTAGGAGCCATAAAAGCATACTGTCATATCTTGGATTGGTAGTATTCTCTGAATCAATGACGTACACATAAGATAGTCGTATACGCAAGCAGATACTTGTGCGACTCCCGTTTTGAAGGAGATTATCGTATAGCTAGCTATCCCGTCCGGTTCTTTGACATATAGTGGAACCCCAAGCACTTCTTGAATACGTGTATGGGCTCCTTCCTGGTTCGCAAGGACTTGCCCTAGGACCGAGCTAGAGATATCTCTGGCTAAAATATCATATCCCGGCATGAGCATGCCATACATCAAACGAGCGGACGTTTGGGATACGCCTTTCACGTCTCTCATATTTGATCGCCCTCAAGACTGGTTGCCATGTGAATCTAATTTCGCTAATTTGATGGAGATAGAAAGATATCTTCGGGCATTGGCGTCTTCTTGATCTGGGCCAATGTATTCCTGACTATTCACTTGATTCAAGGCTTGGAAATTCTGCAGTACCTGCAGTATATATGGTCGCAGTTCAAACATCGCGAGCTGGTAATAAGCAGGAAGGGTCCCATAGCACATTGACAACAGAAGACAAGATAAACGCTGTAGTGTCTGGTCCCTTGCGGCGGAAGAGATCCCCCAGACACCGATTGTAATGGAGGGTGGGACCCAGCTCCTGTATTGAGGGGCTCGTTGATATTCGTCGCCTGCGGGGGCCTGTGGGTAGGCACTCTTCGCTCTCTCTCTTCCTCCGCCACGTCAGTTTCTGAGAAAAATCCAACGTTGGTGGTAGACCACTTTGCTTTGAGACTATCCAATATATTCTTGGCAGGCACAAGATAGCTTTCCTGCGTATCGTTAGATGTTGCAACAATCATGCCATAAATGGCGCCATGTTGAGCATCAATTACTAATGAGCCGCAGTCTCCTGTCCCTGACGGAGTAAAGTATTAGTCATCCGAAACAGCAGGGTAGAGAGTAAAGCGTACGGCAGCATGTATCTATCGTCCAAATTTCTTGCATATGCGTTGACCCAGGGAGAATGATTCCATTGACGCGTCCTGAAGCTTGTGTCTCGAAAACGCCACTTGTACCGGCAACAACAACAATAGCTGAGCCGTCAGGTGGATTGTATGCTATGGAATCAACACTGACGATGTTTCCAGCAGGAGACTTGACCTTGTTAGGTTTCAAGGTTTTCCAAGAGTCTGGAGTGACGAGAGCCCAGTCCAGGTCAGAGCAGATGACAAGACCTATGTCTAGTTGAATCAACTGTTGACTGAGATAACCAAATCTTTTGAAGGCACTAGGGTCTGAAGAGGCGGACTCAGAGCTTACAGGGTGGTCGTCAGTATGGGAATCTTCTGGTTTTCGGAAAATGTACACGTCCTTGTCCCTAAGATGGTCCAAGATGTGATCACGAAACAATGGGGTGATATCGGACGATTCGACTGACCGTGGAGTGTTTCTTGCACTGGAACCATCCGTATATAGATTTGACGCAGTTGAGTCGTCGTCGTCGTCGTCATCCTCGTCGTCATTGCCGGCGTCGTCTCCATTGTCAGAGTGACCAGGATAAAAAACGTGCGCCGCAGTGAGAAGAAAGGGTACGTTATTGACGAGAATAACACCACTAATGGTGGCTCGCTGATATATTGAAGATGGTGTTTGGGGCAAACAAGGCGTCCAGAAAGGCAGGCCGCAAAGAATCTCTTGCTGAAATAATGTGTTATACCATTCATCATTTCCGGCGGTAAGCACAATTTTTTGGTCTTCGAAGAACGTGAAGCCGAAGCCAAGATTCAACTTTTTTAGGCACTCGTTCTGCTTAAGGAGCTTACAAAGCTTCCGCGCAATTCTCAATTTGGGGTGGAAAGTGACGATAGTAGGTTGTGCGCACTCCCAAGGTTTATCATTCGGATCTTGTTGTGCCTCACCAACCATGTACAATGCACAATATCTTGTCACTCGAGTATTGCTCTTGCGAAAAACCTTCTCATAGTTTTCCTTGTTATTGATGATGAGCAAGATTGCAGGTAACACCTCATCGTTCCATTTCTGCTTTAGAACCCCTGTGTATGCCCAGCCGATTTTATCGCCCAAGGCTCTTGATACATCCTTGTTTACCGAATCTTGTCTATCTTTCTCGGAGAGGGATTCCCAGTATGTCTTTTCTGCCATCAAGAACTTCGACGAAGGCGGTTTCGTTGACGCTGTTATAACAGTAATGGGACTTCAGGCCATAGTATGCTGGGAGCGTCGAAGCCTTTGCGAAGCTCTACTGGGAGCTTTCCTTCCCGATCACGAAAGATATTTCTTTCTTTCCATGACTATCCGATTCCAATATCGTACCTCTTAGCGTAACCCAATAGCTGAATAAAGCTGCTATCGCTGCCTTCGAGAGCACCAGCGCACGAGGCTGTGCATTTTGGGCTGTGCATGCCTCGCAAGGGTCTGACTTATCCACGGCCTTCATTGTGACATAGACCTCTCTGAATCGTAGCCAAAGAGAGTACTTTTGAAAAGGAAGGGTTCTCAGCGGATATGACTCGGCGCATAGACATTCCATATTTTCGAAGAGGAGCGGGGGCAGCGGGAAAACTTGAAGTTGGTCGCCAACTTTGTCTTGGCATTTGGGGCATAAACCTTACCAGCAAAGCCCAGCATTACGCTCACTCATACTTGGACCACTGCAACGAGCTGCGAAGCTTATTTGAAGAGGATGGGCTTTTGCGAGCTAAGAGAACCGAGATTGTTGAACTCGTTGGGTTAGTGAAACAGTCCCAGCATAAAACCGTCAAGGAGATCGAAGATGAAATTCGCAAAGCACAGTTCTACTGGATAGCTCCTCAGGCAGACGATGAGTCGATTCAAAATGTACTAAATTTCGCTATTCGGCTTTGGCTGTTTCTCGAGCCTGACTTATCTAACCAGGCATTAACCTTGGCTGAAGTCGTTGAACGGTCTCTGCCCAGGAAAAGCCAGGCTGAAGGACATACGAAGAAGCACAGAAAATCCAAAACTGTGTCTAAAGCGAAGGCACCCATTTTTCCTTTTGCACCAGAGAAGCTCTCCCGAGAGAAGGACCAATCGCTCATCTACCTTCCTGAGGATTTCTCAGAGAAAAGCCTGACCAGGAAAGGTGCAATCAAGCTTGAATGGTCAAGTTACTTGTCCGACCATCTTACTTTTATGGGCAAATCACGGTTACGGATCTTTCGGCATGCTTCCGCGATTCAGGGACATTCAACGCTTTTTGCAAGGTATGGAGAGCTGCTGTACTCTATATGATGGGCCGGCCTAACAAATTCTCCAGTCTTCCATACCCTCCCGGCTTCCTACAAGAAACAGAACGTACCTTAGCGTTGCTTTTCGACCCTGTGGGAAACGAGACGTCAAAACGCACCCGCAGGATTGAAAGAAAGAACCATGTTGATCTTGAAGCCGCAATTCACTCGTTGATTACTTCCGACGCCCGTCTCGATCTACGAACGTACCCTTACTGGCAAGAACGTCTTCGTGAAATATGCAGGGTCTATGAGGACGCTCAACCCAAGTCTCTCAGACAGTGGTGGTTCGACAGGCGTAATAGGTTTAATTGGGCTACGCTATGGGCCGCGATTGTTGTATTCTGCTTGACCATGATTTTTGGGTTGATCTCTTCCGTTACAGGCATCATGCAGGTTTACGCTTCGTTTCGGGCTTGATGGTGACTGTCGCCACCTTGTGGTACTATATCGTCTACCATGTAATGTGCGTGTATCCATGTGGCTGCGTAATTCACCTGGACAAATACCCTGCTTTTCCCTTGTTCTTCTGTAAGGCTAGTTTGCTACTCCTGGCCCGCGGCTACCTATTGTCTTGTTATTGATGTTGATGAATATCAGCATCTTGGTCGGCTCTTTAGCCAGCCAGGGTTCATTTTCCTTCCTCGCCGCTTCCAGTCTCTCAGAACTATAAGCGTCATCACCGCATTCTAGCTTCGCCTCGATGCGCAGATGGTCTCCGCATAGTCCTTGAATGGTCCGAATAGATTCCAAGGGGGGTATTCACACATCGCCAGAAACCAGGCGAAACACGGTGGTCGAATGCGTCTCTAGAGAGAGTCTGGTGTCAGCAAGTTGGCGAGCACCATCTATCATGGTCGAAAGACGTTGAGAGAGTGTAATATCAAGTACGGCTGTTTCCAACAAATGTCTCCGTTGATGCACACCGCTATTCCGCAGCTTGCATAGCGCCCCCTATATGATAAGTAGAAATGAGATATTGAGCCAACTTACCTTTCCGGGCCCTCCGGCCTTAGACTCACGTCCCTGGCGTATTCCGACAGGGGCTGGTGGCATAAATGCAAATAATAAGTGAAAAGGCAAATAATCTATTCAATACAAGAACCCACGGTTCACAATGCATATTCGACTATTGAAACTGATATACTTGATCTCTGAGCCATTGAGTGTATTCTGTTCCCTATTCGAGTAAGGGACCGGAGGACATTCGGACCAAACTGAATTCCAACCAAATCAGCGCATTTGCCTATTGAGTTAGCGTCAGGAACTTTGAACACCAAACTGCCAAGATCTCCACAAGAAAGAATTTTCAACCACGTTGCCGTTGAGATGCCATCAGCTTCCTGACATACCTTATCAAGATGCGTGCTCTCACGGATGTGGAGACGCAAACGCTGTTCTCGAAGCTGGCCAATTACACCGGCCGCTCTCTGAACCAGCTCATAGCACCCACAACCTCGAATGGCGAGACAGATGAGGACCGCTATGTCTTTCGGCTGCACGAGTCTCGGGTCTACTATGTGCGTTTGTCACTCGCGAATCTGGCCACGTCGATAGCACGCGAGAATTTGCTGTCTTTAGGGACCTGCTTGGGCAAATTCACGAAGACCGGTAAATTTAGGCTACATATCACTGCCCTCGATGTCATCGCCCCCCATGCAAGATACAAGATTTGGGTCAAGCCGAATGGCGAGATGCCTTTTCTGTATGGTGGAAACATAGTCAAGGCGCATGTTGGAAGGTGGAGTGAGGATTGCCCGGAACATCAGGGCGTTGTGGTACTGGGCATGGATGATACTCCTCTGGTAAGCAGATCCTTGAATTGTTGTGAGCAACCTCTGAGATTTATACTCAGGGCTTCGGCGTCACCGCAAGATCTACTGCAGAAGCAAGAAAGATGGATCCCACGGGCATCGTTACGTTTCGTCAAGGAGATGTCGGCGAATATCTCAGAGAGGTAAGTGCTTTCAATGCTTTGAGCTGTTGCTATTTGCTCATCAATATTAGGAGGACACACTCTTCGTAACGTGACTAAGATTTGCGCGCCATGTTTTTGCTTTCTGCTTCAGATACTCTCGTCATTCTTTGCTTTTTGAAGCCGGATTCCGCGGTTCTTACAAAAGCTGCTGCAGCACTGGGCACCTCTACTCTGGCTGCCTTCATGAGATATCTTGTCTCCCACCATCTAACAGGACTCAGCATCTGATATGCTCATTGCTGTTCTGCTTTTCCAGGGCATGCAGTCTGAACAGCTGGTCCCTAGAGGTTCACAGTGGACAGGTGCGGCACGGGGTTTATGTAAATCGGAAGCCCCTCCCTGTTCGAAATCTGTCCCTTCTTGCCGTGAACGAGGCATTGAGAAGAAATGCGGACGCCAGTCTATCAGGAGCGCTGGAGTACTCGGAAAGACACTGGGTAAATTCGTCTCGGTACGGGCATAAAGAACTGGAAAAGGCTCGTAGGTCTTGACGTTCAAAGATCAAACTCCGGTCTTTTTTATGCCATCTGTCAGTGGCAGCGACCATCCCGAGTACATCAAGCAATGAAATGAATAGTAAATAAGGAGCTATCTCGGAGGCCATATTGCTGGCAACAGAAGCAGCAGAAACCAGTATAGAGCTCGGGGTGTGCCACAAAACCCAATTTCTGGATGCACTGCCAGCTCCTGTTCACAAAACAGTATTTTTTTTCTCAGCAATGGATCTACAGTCAAAACTTTGACCACTTCCTGGTTGCTAGATATGTGAAGAGCCTCGAGTTCACCGTCTACCTCCAGTTCAATCACCTTCGAGCCGACACAAGCTGAGGAGAAAGAGTACACAGGGAATATTCAAATTGTTCATTGGTTAACTTTGCGTGCAGAACCAGCTGTGGTTCTATCCAGAAGGTGCAAGTCTGCAACCTGATGAAGACAACGAATCGCTGAATGACAGAGCATTGACTTTGACAGTTTCGTGCACACGAGATTTCACAACCAGGGCTGCCGCCACCAACTTTTCAACTACCAAGTCATTATCTCCCAAAAGCGTTCGAAAGCTATATCCCAACACCTTCTACATCTCACAGCTTACTCCCAGTCCCCACCCTTTCCTTTCCACCCCCCTCTCCCTTGCACCCAAAAACAACCTCCTCCACCCACCCCTTAATCACCTCATTGACCTCCGCCGGACTCTCCCAATGCGCAAAATGCCCCACCTCAACCTCCCTCCTCCTCAGCCTCGGCAACAGCCCCTTCGGCCCCTCCCCACCCTCAACCATATGCCGCGCCATCTCAGGCCTCAACGCCTCATCCTTGGTAGCCAACACAAACAGCACCTCCTGCTCCAGCCTTGGCAGCTCCTTCACCTCGCCAAACCTGAAAATATATTCCCACTCATCCTCCCAATTGATCTCATGCGTCCGATACCAATTACAGGGGCCATGCAACCCGTTCCGCGAGAACTCAGAGGCGTAATACTCCAGTTCCTCCTCACTGAGTGACGGAGTATGACCGAGCTTCTCGAGTCCAGCCAGATTGAAGCCGGCGTTGGGGTTGAAGACGACCAAAGCAGGATCCGCGGGTTTGCCGCCGTAAGCGGCGTTGAGGAAGGATTTTATCTGGGAGCGGGTCTGGATGGACTCTTCGATCGCGCCGGAGGAAAATTGGTGTTGGTAGCTGAAGTTGGGGACTGTGGTGCGGGTTAGGAGTTTGAGCGGGGTGTAGGTCGGTTGCGGGGCGAGGTAGGGGGTGCAGATTGAGAAGACGTGAGTTACTAGGGTGGGATGGTAGAAAGCGAAGCGGTAAACTATCCCGCCACCCCTGGAAAAGGGAAAGGGGTTAGTTGGACAGAGGGTCGGGAGAGGTGGAGTTGTCCGGTTTTGAGAAGGGGGGGGCATTGAGATGGTGAGGAGCGGGAGGTTGACTTACCAATCGTGTCCACCAATGATAATTCTATCAACGCCGAGTTGTCTCGCCAGCTCGGCCATGTCGTCGCTGATCCGCTTGAAGCCGTAGTCTCGCAAGGTATATGGAGGTGCGTCCTGCCGAATAGTCATCAACATCTACTTTCTAAAACCGGACCTTAGAAAAAGAGTGCTGATGGTGAAGACTCACCGTCCTACCATAGCCCATACAGTCCGGCGCCACGACCCTCAAGCCCAGAGATAGCAGCATGGGGATCTGATAGCGCCATCCCATCGAGATATCGGGGAAGCCATGGAACTGGAGGAAATAGACCTAATCAGCACAACGTCCTCGTATAGATTGTGCTAGAAGCGGTAGTGAGAGTGATGGGCGCATGACGTACGAGGAAGATGGTCCCTCGACAGCCTTCCCTGGGTTCGCCGTAGAGGTATCCTATAAAGGAGCAAGAGTATTAGCCGGCCGGCGCGCGGAATGAAAGGTGTGTAGGGAACAATCTTTCAATCATGGCGCCCAGATAGAACCATGGACGGAGAAGCTACGATTGAGGGAGGCCATTCATGCAGAAATGAAATAATACTGCTGGTGAGAACAGAGATTGTAGATGCAATACCATACGTCCTGCCGTTCAGATGGGCAGATCGTTTCTGGACGCGTGGGTCGTCCCACACATTGATCTTGTCTACAGACATGTTGGATCTGTAGCTACTACTGGGACGGAGTGAGGTGGATTAATCTCAGCACAGAGAGGGCAGCGCAAGGACGTATGCTTTCGCCTAGTTACTCTCGAGAAGGATTCTCAGCATTGTCGCCAGTCCAATAACGATATGGAATTGTTGGTTAGCTAAGCCAAGTAGCTGAGGCAGTTCTTCCGCTTCCTATTGGAGCAATTCAAACTCCCGCCTCCTGTGCGTCCGTAGTCCCGCCTTAATTACTGGTGGAGCATGCCTGCAGTATAACGTGAAGGGGATGGCGTCGGTCCTTACAAAGGGATTAAATGTCAGATAACGTGGGCATTGGATTGTCGATCAGTCACAACGGATGGATCCGTTGCTCATATAGTTGGGTCCTAGATGTAATAAAATTGACACTTCGGTCAGATGGTGCAGTATTATTGTGTAATTTATACATCAGTGGGAGGATCTTGCAGATCGGTGGGTGAAGCCAGACACTGGCCTCGAGCCATTGCTCGTGAAGCTGAATAAGGAAGAGCTGAACGGAACTGACAGTGAGAAAAGTTTAGAGGGGGCTACTGAGAAGTGATTTGACCCGAAGGACCTGCTCTCTCGCTCATCTGGACTGGTGTCTATTCCTTTCCGGTGCCCACAACAATGACGGTTGAGGTGTACCGCATCCGAATTGAATATGCTGCAAGTGATTCTCTCAATATATCACATCATCTTCTTGCCCTTCCACAAGCTCCTCACCTCCATGATCCTCACTGGTCTTCTCCTCCTGCTTTCTAGCCTCATCTTCGAGAGCACTGGCTTGAGTTTCCGTATTGTCATCATAATTAACAGCATCGACTTCAAGGACACTGCTCCCTGTGGTTGCCTGTTCTTCGTTAGTAGCATCAGCACCCACCAATTCCGCCTTCGGCTGCCCATCCTGCTTCGTAACGTTCTCTTCATTTCCAGGCTGTTGTGGAGGTTGAGCACCATCGATTTGGCTGGCAGAGAAAGAAGGGTGCTGCCCCTCGTTTTTCTTGTTGTCTTCGTCTTCTTTCCTCCTCTGGTGCTCGTTGACTTCATTTTCAACAGCTTTCTCGGCAGCTTGGATCTGGCCCTTGATTCGGTCCTCTTCCTCTGCTCGGAGCTCCCAAGGCCTGTAAAACTGAAAACATAGTAAGCTTATATGTTTTTGCGCGATTGCATTGTTTTAGCCCACCAATGTTGGTTCAGCCCTCGTTTCCAAGAAATGCGCTCGGGCCAGCAGGTTGCTGTGTCGTAATTGCGTCTGCTCCCTCTATCAGCACAGTCCCACCGACAGTAGGGCAATTCTTTACACTCTGCTCCTCCCAGACTTTTTCTTCCTTCCTTCTCGCTATGTCGAGCTTCTCCCGCTTCCTCCTTACTTCATCTTCGAGTTCTTCATCTCGTTGCTGCAGCTTCCCTAGCTGCTTCTTCTCGATATCAGCTCTCCGTCTTTGTGCTGTGGTAGTGGAGCTTTGTGAGAGCGTGCCTAGTAATGCGCCAAACAATCGCTGCCCTCTTTTCCGCTCCTCGACAGCTCCACTACCTGTGATTGATGGTTTCCTTCGAGGTGGAGATGCTGCAGAAGGGGTAACGGTATATCCATCGGAATCTTTGCGGAGCTGACCCTCTAGACGCGGACGCTTGAAAGAATCATGGTAGAGTTCTGCGGACTGGCGGCGTTTATGGAGGGGCGAGGTAGGGGAAAGGTCTTCGGGCTCAGGGACAATGACTGCGGAGGATATCATGATACTATGAGGACAATTAGAATTTTCCGTAGCTGACCCTAACTACCATGGCGCGAATAAGTATGAACGATGTGTTGTTATCTTCAGCTAGTTTCATCTTTAAGTATGTTGGAGCTTAAGAGCAAGGAATGATTGATCAACTCAAGGCTGTGAACCAAAATGACTTTTCTGTCATATCATCTCCCAAATGTGAAAGTACTGCCAAGCTCGATCAATTGGCTGTAAAGTGCTGTAAGCTTAAATATGCGGGCCGCGGGAATCACTATTCTAATTGGTGTAAAGTCTAGCATTACTGCCTTCTTAAGTTTAGTTGAGAAATAAGCAGTGCTTGAGTGGGCGAAGACTGCAGCATCTTGCTAAGCTGTACTCTATCAAAATTGAAAACCCCCTTTTTATAATGAAAAACTATTTCTGTTATATCTTACTTAATTCTAAAGATAATAAATTTAAAAGACCTGATTTAGATAGCGCTAATCTAGAGCTATTAAGAAAGGATTATAATATTAAGACAACTTAAAGATAAAAAAAGATATAAAATAGTTTTTCTTAAGAATTTAAAAAGCTATTATTACTAATATTTTAGTTAGTTTAAAAGTTAAAAATTATAACTTATATAAATTATAAATAAAAAAAGTTAATTTAAAAAATAATGATTATCAAGATTTAGCTTATAAATTAAGTAAGAAAAGTAAAATTAAATTTAGATTATTATATAACTAGTTTAAGTCTAACTCTTTTAGTCAGACTTAAGCTTTAAGTTGATCTAAGTTAATCTCTAGATTTCCAAGGCTTAAATTATTATCGTTTAAGCCCTAAGTTAATAGACTTAGACTATAAATTTACCAAAAAGTTATGTTAAGGAACAAGACTTTTGGCAGACGTGACATCTATTTCTTTGTTCAGAATCCATTGTTCCCTAAATTTGAGTGAGTATTGATAGAGAATAGAGGAATGAAGAGGGGGGGAGGAAGAGGATCTGAGAACTGCCATAAATTTTGGCGTCAAGCTTCAGCCTCGGATGTTTGGCTCTCTTTGCCTGCATCTCATCCTTACACAGTTATTTTCCCCTGCATCTCATCCTTAACTACACGACATTTTCCCCGCAAGTCACCTTCGAGGCCTTTTCGAGTCGGATCAAAACCACAAAATCGGTGCAATACTCCATAGTCATGACGCCATTTTCATCTTTGTGCCTCGGCAGGTCGGATGTTGCGCCCAATGTGGATCTTCCCTGCACTGAGAATGCTCACAATAGCTCGAATGCTACCTTACCTGCTGCCGACCTCGCGACTACGGTACCTTGCTAGTGTGGTTCCACGGCTCGTGGTGTTTCGCTATCAACTGCTCCAGCAGTGCTGGAAATTGCGGTTGTGAAGCCCGCATAGGTGTATCCATACAATGCTGCTATCGGACCAGGCAATTTATCTCGACCCGGCCCACCACTCGCCTCCGCGATTATACCTGGTCGATTCATTGGTGGAAGGCTAGCCTTTATGCTGTGCTTGCCTGGCTATGTCTCTAGAAGGCGAATGCTTCCACCTGCCTGATTTTGATCTATCGGCCGTTGCCAAGTCTTTCTGCTTTGCTGAGTCCTTGTCCAAAAGCCCTTCGAGAAGCATCTATCGCTGCCGGAGAAATGTCATCGAGCGGCCTCGGCTGAGATTAGTCCTAATGACCAGCGATGGTGCCTTGGCGATAAAGGTGATCATGCCTGCTGTGGTACCTAGGCCAGCTTTTGGGTCCTGGTTCCCATTGGAGACGTTGCCTGCACGAGACCACTGATAGCTCTTATTTGCCGCTTCGACCAGTCTCCGAGAGGAAAGTGTTGGGCAATCACCACCGAGCTTCAGGCTATCTTATGTGTGATGGAGGGATCGCCAACCGACGATACCCATACTGCGTTTGCCTCATGCTATAAGATGGCCGCTTCCCACCTCTTTCCGTGGTCGTCCCCCCACACCGACCAGATTCGCCAGCATGAGGACGCCCAGTCAAATTGTTTTGTTTGCAGCAGCCCTGCCGCTTGCGCTCGCCAAAGAGCTGCCTAGGAACGAAGCTCTAGCAGCAGAGAAGTACGACAATGGCGCCGTCCACGAAAGCATTATGCGTGCGAAGCACGTAAGCGTACCATGATACTCTGCATTCGGGCTATAGCTGACCCTACAAGTCATCGTGGGATCGTCAACGCGCGGAAGGCCTTTTCGAGTCTTCACGCTACCAATCATCACTTGGTTACGTGCCTTGTGAGGACGGACTTGCAGTCGCTGTCCCAGGCGACGCGAACAACACGTTCAGGTGCATGAATGCGAGTTGCATGGCTCAGTGAGTGGGGCCAGATATTGACCACTTACAGATGGACCTGTACGACTTCAAGAGCCACGCCGATCTTGGCTCTTTGACAGGCGAAGGTAGCAGCTCCTGGGGCTGGACTTCAAATGACGGGCGCGAGTTTGTTGCCATTGGGCAAGCAGATGGCACAGCATTCGCCGAAATTTCCAAGGAAGGCCAATTGGTGTATCTCGGGCGTCTACCCCAACAGTCCGTCACATCAATCTGGCGCGAGATACGATCATACAAGAACTACATGATTATTGGGAGTGAGGCAGTGGGACACAATGTTCAGATCTTTGACATGACCAGGGTAGGGAGCATCTCGTCCTAGTGTGGGTAGCAATGCTGACTGACCCAATCCAGCTGCTCAGCCTGGACCCTGCATCTCCCACCACCTTCAGCACCACCACCGACCTTACCGGCCTCTTCACCGGTCTGCCAGTCGGAAGATCGCACAATGTCGTCGTCAATGAGGAGCTCAACTACGGAGTCGCCGTTGGTGCGCAACCTCGAAACGACAGTTGTGCTGCCGGTCTGATCTTCTTCGACTTGACCGATCCCTCAAATCCTACCACTCCAGGATGTGCTGGGCAGGATGGCTACGTGCATGACGCGCAATGCATCGTATACCGAGGCCCTGACGAGAGGTATTATGGCCGTGATATCTGCTACGGCTACAACGAAGACACCCTTACTATGTAAGCTGAGGGAAGCAACTCGCTGACTGCGGTTCGCTGACTTCCTCCAGCTACGACGTGACCGACAAAGTCGGCATCAATTCGTCTGTCGTCATTTCCCGAACTTCCTATGCCGGCGCAAGCTACAGCCACCAAGGTTGGGTACTCGACCCCAACTGGCAGCAGTATCTGCTCCTCGACGACGAACTTGACGAGGTGGAATTTGCTGGCCCTGCCGCAGACCAATATCCAGTGACTTATATTTTCGACATCAGCCGACTCGATGACCCGAAACAGACCGGGATTTACAAGTCCAAGGCCTTTTCGATTGACCATAACCAATACGTCTATGACGGCTTGGTGTACCAGAGCAACTACGGTGCTGGCCTCAGGGTCCTTGATGTCAGCTCTATCCCATCAGATCCCACCGGAGGCAGCATCGAAGAAGTGGGGTACTTTGACATCTTCCCTGAAGATGACCAAGCACCAAATGGAGGTACCATTGATTTCGTGGGGACGTGGTCACACTTTGCAGGCTTCCAGAGCGGTTACATCTTTGTCAATGGCATCGAGCGCGGTGGATTCGTAGTGAAGATGAAGCAATTCGACAAGAGAGGCAGAGGGAAGCAGTATGCAAAGCCTAGAAATGTGTAATGGGCATCCGTACTTCTTACCAGGGGAAGGGGTAGTTAAAGATATGGACTAAGTGCCGTTAGTGGAAATGACAGCTATTTCGTCGAAGGAGGATCAAACTATTGATGTAGTGGATGATCTGAATTCTATCTACCTGCAGAATCTATCTCTAGAAGGAGGAGAGGCTAATACTACTGCGCAGAGTGCGGTCACGTGATGCCAAGGATTTGGCTGTACACGTACTAATTCCAACAATTATGACCATATCATTTATCTATTATGAAAGCACCGCGAAGCTCGATCAATTGGCTGCAAAGTGCAATAAGCTTAAAAATGCGGCCCGCGGTAATCATCTTTCTAAATAGATAAAGTTCCCCTTTCCTGCCTTCTTGAGATTAGTGTTAGAAATAAGCAGTGCTTTAGTGCGCCAAGGCTGCAGAATCTTGCTAAGCCATACCCCATCAAAGTTGAAATGCACACAGAATACGCAGAAAAAGCGCATAGAATTCGTACGCAGAATGCGCAGAATTTACAGAATGATCTTCTAACCTTCTAACCTTCTATCCTTCTATCCTTCTATCCTTCTATCCTTCTATCCTTCTATCCTTCTATCCTTCTATCCTTCTATCCTTCTATCCTTCTATCCTTCTATCCTTCTATCCTTCTATCCTTCTATCCTTCTATCCTTCTATCCTTCTATCCTTCTATCCTTCTATCCTTCTATCCTTCTATCCTTCTATCCCCCTTGTCTCCCCAACAACTTTCACCATCCCATCTTCTCGCTTATTCATCTTCTTCTCTTCTCCACCTCAACCACTTCCTCGACGCAACTTCCTCCTCCTCTTCCCTCTTCCTCTCTGAATCGGCATGACTAACCCGTCCCCCCCGCGTGCACATACAGTTGGATTGGCTGATGTCAAGCCGCCGAACCAACGAGGAGAAGCCCGGCGCCGTCGCCAAGGAGACTTAAATCGAGCTTACATGCCATGCCATCCTGAACCCTCTCATGCTGTGCACGTCGGTACCGGCATCTTCACTGCGATGCAAGGAGGATCCATGGATGTGGCTGCTTGGGGGATTTTGTTTTTTTACTCCGCGGAGAGCTGAAGGGAAAAGGACGGCTCTGCATGTTAGGTAGATATCGCAAGGGCGAGGCGGGGTTTGACTGGAATGCTACCTCCTCGCTCACATAGATAGTACTTCTGCTTTGGAAAGTGGTGTGGAGTGGCTGGGTGGCTGGGTGGGCTGTGGCATCGTTAGAAGTGCCCCATCATTTCATATCTTTCACTTCTCAACGCTCCTTATTTACTTGATATTCTATGACGTGTGCTATTATTTACTTGACTACCTTTCTTCAAGAGTCAGCTTTGGAATGGCATCAAACGTCGTGTTCATCTTTTCCCCTTCTTCTCGGGTTTCTCGTTGCGAGTCATGCTGCAAGAATCGATGTCGCTATATCATGCTTCGTTTCGGGGCCTAGCCGGGTATCCATCATTGTAGCGTCCTTGAATGGTCCGCACTACTTGGATCTGTTCGTTTCGGGCTATATAACCAGTTGGTACTGGGCGGCGGTTGCTCGATATGTCAAGCGCTGAACGAAAGTAGCTGTAAACGCTGGTTTCTTCAACGAGACTTGCGCTAGTTGGCCTGACTGTGGATTCCCGTAAAGATACACGTACACGACCCGTAACACTCACGGGCCGCAGCCCATAGTCGATCCTTCCACCAGAGTCAATACAGGGTCATGAGTCCAGCCCAGTTTGACGCTGCGCATCCACCCGCAAAACTAAATCTACATCAACAATCCCCAAGCGCGCGCGACAAGGAGCTCAGCCTCTCCGACTCCTCTGCATCAGATGCTGGAGAGGGCGCCGGTAGTCCCGTAGCGCTGTAGATGATGGGGAATAGATGCAGAGGTTTCCAAATCGATGCCCGGATTCCAGGGGAAGACTAACTGCATTGTCGTCTCGTCCCGCGCGAGCGGGCTCCCAATCACAGGGCCCCAAGCTTGGGGCCGCCTGCTGAATCGATGCGCAAGGATGATGCCCCGTAAGACTGGATGGCGGTCCCCGTTCTCCCACCTGTTAGAATCCCTGCGTTTATGATACGTATCTGTTACGTACTAGCATGATGGTACAAGGTCCCCGCATGCAAAACGCACGAAACGCTCTTGTAACTGTTACGCCCTGTTATTTATGGCAGTGAGCATTGCTATACGAATTGAACGCCAAATGCTGTTTCTGAGCTGTTACAGTAATGCGCTTCTATAGCTATTAGTATGAGCAAATACTCCTCTTGATAGGAGTAACTCAATCAATTCAATTGGTATCTCCGTACGCTATTTGCTACATCCTCTAACACCACCCCCCCAAATGGTGTGCGGAATTCCGCTGCTGTGGGCTTGGCAGCGGTGCAGTCGAGATGATGAAATGTGATGGAGTTGGGTTGAAGGGGGCGTTGTTTGAGCAAGATCTTGGCGTAGAATGAGGGAGAGAAGCAAGGTAGGGTTTAGGGAAAGAAGACATGGGTTAGACATGTCATGATAGGTTACGCCGGACAGAAGAAGGAATAGGAGACCCAAACTTACAATAATCTGCTCCATTGGAATTAGAGAAGTCAAAATACGCCGACAGTCTTCTTACAACTATGTAGCTTGAATAAACCGACTCTAACTTTCAAATCTAATCAGTAACCAATTTCTTAATCCAGAGTCATAGCTTCCAGGCTAAACAACGCACCCAGGCGAGCCGGAACACCCGATTATAAATCTGAAAGTCTGCAGAGGCCACTCACAGCCATGGGTTCGGCTCAAGAAGCTCGAAAACTCCGCTAACAGAACCTGCCTGAAAGTTCTGGGCTGGAAGAGTCGTCTGTGGTGCCGTCGGCCAGTTCTCGTAAGGTGTCCCTGGTCCAGACATATCGCTAACTTGGCAGAGCTCTTCTTCGTCCGAGACCGTCTGGGGAGAGGCGAGATTCTGCCAGGTGGATAGTGTTGATTCCAATGTGTCGATCTCCAGTGCTGGGGAAATCCTGGAAACTGGGAAAAGCGATTTTCTGGGGTCTGGGGTCGTATAGCTGTCGTCGGCTCCGGGAGAAAGATGATGATCTAACATCCTTTCTGTTGTTTCTTCATCTTCGCTTTCCACAACATGCCCTGTGAGTGTGAGGCCTTCCGAATCCTCGCCTCCTGAAAAGTTCTCTGGATAACCTTCCCAACTCCCATCAAGAGATTCCAGATCGCCGTCGGGATCCCACCCTGGAGGGTCGTGATAGTACGGACACAGTTCTTCGCGGCCACGCCACAGGCTCTCAAAATCCTGGCGAGTGTAACTTTCCACATATTCAGATCTTCTAGGAAATCCTTTGCGCTTCTCATTAATGTCGTAGCCACATTGCAGAAGGACAGAGTCCCATAGGTCTCCTCTGTACCCACCAAGATCGAGATCATAATAATAATGATTAGAAACCGTGTAGGCTGTCTCAGATATCGAATGGCCGTTGTTGTCGCACGCGTTGACATCTGCTCCGTTTTGGACCAATAAAACAAGACATTCTTGCTCTTCCAAAACGTTTTCGCACTCGGCGAGGCGAATGCAGATATGTAAACAAGTTTTCCCCTCGTCATCACGAGCATGAATGTTAGAGCCTCGTCTGAGAAGAAGATCAAACTTCGCTGGGTTACATCCCTCGAAACGATTGTAGGCAAGCAACAACAGAAGGGTGCGGCCGATTTCGTCTCTCTCTTCCAAGTCAATGAAGCCCGCCCCGAGGTCCAAGGTTTCTTGCAGATATTCCTGTTTCTGGTCACTGATATATTCTTTTACTGGTAACTGGAGTTGGTGTAACCCACACGATCGCCCGCTAGCACAACTTCTCTCACTGGAGATCCCGCAACATCCGAGCGCTCTTCAATAGTGGGGTCTGCTCCTGCCCTCAATAGTAGGCGACGGCATTCCAGTCGTTCTCTAGGTTGATCCTCAGTATAAAGAAGGGATGTTATTGAGAGAGGTAGGCTGATAGATAGAAGAATCAGCGACCATTGCTTCCAATATTACTGACAGAGCCTTGAAGCTGCACATACCAAGGGACTCCCCAAAAGGGACTTCGTGCCATTTCGTCAACATCCGCACCATTTTGGATCAGGAACTCGCAGACTGTGGGCTGCCCAATCGCATACTGCGATAGCAGGCATCAGAAAACCGACTGAGCTAAGATAGGTGGTCACTCACATGTAAAAGGGGCGTGCCGTACGAGTCACAATCTCTCAAAGAAGCCTTGCCCTGACCGATCAGGCTAAGAAGCCCGTCCATATCTCCGTATCTCACACATTCAAAGACAGCAGAATTGTTTGGCCGGATCAAACCCACAGAAATGCTCGGGCAGAGAGAGAAAAATCCATCAGCTGTCGCATGTTGATGGAAAGAGACAGTGAGATTAGCTTGAAATCGTGGATGGTCGAGTACAGCGTTGAGTGAGGCGGTAAACTCTCTTGTTGTTTGCGGGCTAGTGGTAATTTGTTCCTGGGATGAATCTGAGGTTGCGATATAATGACTCTCTGTGGTCGTCATAGTAATCTTTCCATATGCCTTCGGTATCTCTTTCCTACTGCGTTTGCTACTAATCTTGCGGTTTTTGAAAGTGGAAAGTCGATGAGCTGCAAGGTCAATTAGCCTCGCCTATGGAGATTCGCAGTACATTCAGCCTTGCCTTTTTGGTTGACGACAAGAGTATCGGAAGAACCCAGCAAATTCCGCATGCGTTTGAGTTCGCGATTGCTGCTGTGGTTGTTTTTCTCCTGAACCATGCCGCTCTGCCGTTTTCCAGGAACAGGAGATTTAGATTTAGTGTGCAATGATGGGACTGACGCGAATGCCAATAGTGCATCAAGGTCACTGATGATGACTTCTGCGTCGTTATTAGAGAGTGCGCCCCCTTTCTGTTTTGCGAGTTGGCAAAGCCTTTCAATGCTCTCCAGGGGCTCACAGTCTTCTTCAGGATCGCCGCAGTCGTCTGTTGGGTCGAGGCCCTTTGAGCACTGCGGTTGAAGTCGAGCTATACGTTCCGGACGGCGGATCTCGGTGGACAGTCCGGACACTTGATCTTGGATTGCCCGAAGGAGAACACATACATTCTCGGATTGGGCCAAAGACATTTCAGAAATGTGTTCTATTTTTGGGATAACGTGAGCGAATGTATCACGAATTTGTTCTTGCATCGAATGAGAGGTATCTCTGAGGTCCTTGACATTGGCGTTAATGACAGATACTTCTTCGCTTTGCTGTAATGCAACAGCCATATTTACATGATCGCGGACAGCTCGCTCAGAAATAGCTTCGTCTATCTGAACAAGCTTGTCTTTGCAGACAAGCCCTCTATTGCTATCAAATAAGGTCAGAATTCTAACAGTGACGAAAAGAGTGCCCACAAAAGGAAACAACGCTACCGCTTCATATACTTCCCACCGATTACAAGCGGTCCACTTACGATTGTAAAATATTTAGCTGAAACCCAAGTGCACTGACATGATGATTCACCCCGTCCCACATACGCTGGAAGTCTTTCTCCTGCAGAATGGTCTTGACTTTCTTCCATGCCTTTTCTGTCTTCTTGTCGTTAAGAGATATCCGAACTTTTCGAAGCTCCCCCTCGTAGTGTGAAACATCTCCTTTACACGATTCAATCAAGCTCAATATCACTTTGAGATCGGTCTCCGGGTCAGCCGATTTGACAGCTGGGCAATTTGACAGTTGAGTCAGCACTGAATCTAAAGTCCGTACTGCTGAAGCAAGGCTCTCGACCTGTTGCGGGCCACTTTTGATACCTGAAACGGCTTCGTAGATTGATTTGGTGGACTGTAAGGCGACAGCGATGAAAGTAAGCACACTGGCACCCGCCTCCATCGTTCAGACTAAGAGATAGGCCTTCCGGGTTGAAGAGGCAAAGTTTGCAACGATAGTGAATACTTGACTGATTGAGTACAATCACAGAGCGAAGAAAATTCGACAGAGTTCCGCAGATTGAGTCAGATGGGGGCATGAAGGCGCAGTTGCGGGGGCTTGGACAGAAAACCCGGGAACAAATAAGGCTGACGACAAGGCAGCCTTGCATAATTGTTGTTTGATGATTGGACGGATTCTCGTTCTCTGGAACTCCCCAAACACTTTCGCAGTGCACAGTATCCTTTTCCTAATTGTGGCTAGTCGCCGGAACACGAATTGTAGAGCTCCATGATGAAATCGAATATTCCAATTGCCTCATTAGAGACTTGCCGCGTGATAATTCTTTTTCCTTGCCATGCAGCGCTGTAACTTGTGCATCAATACGGCTGGGCAGAGAGATCAATCCAGTCGCACCGTGCTAGATGATGAGCATGGAGTTTTTCTCTGTCTGTGAGATCTTCGAAGGCTTCTTTGATCCTCATCTGACGTACGGGATGTAAGCCTTACCGGAACTGACGCCATCTGGCATGGGACACATTGACGATAATATCATATCACAACGGATCAAGAGTCGTCTTTGCTTGGTGTTGAGATTAGTATCAAGTCTTCGCATTGACGATCACTTGAACTGTAGTACTCCGTACGTGGCACGAGTAGTGAGCAACGAGGATAAGATCTGGCTAAGGAACATTAACTAAAAAATAGTGGAGGTGGTTACTAAGCATATTTTTCCCAATGCCAAGGAATTCGAGTGTGTCGATGAAGCGTGTCTCATATCACCATTACCGCGTAAACTGATTGGTGATTGTTCGTGGTTTACAATGCGAGATGTACCACAGTCGTCGTTTTGTTTGTTGCTATTTTGACCTTCGTTTACAGAACGGTATGAAAAGACAGTAGACGCGTAGCCCAACGTTAACACATCCGGGCCGAATTTTGCTACCTCCGTTTGCTCCTCGTCTTTGATATTTTCTTATATCTCAACGTTCTTCCTGTGTTCCGTTCATTCCTCTCGCTTACACTACATTCTCTAGCAAACTGAGGCCTACTCAAGCTTATCGAAATGGCAGAGCTTCGCTCGCATTTTCCTACAAGACCTGTCGCGAATCCAAAAGCAGTTGTCTCAGGAGAGAAATACAGGTTCACTGTGCTCACAGATGCCTTGATTCGTTACGAGTACGCTCCAGACGGAATCTTTGAAGATCGTGCCTCCACATTTGCCATCAACCGTGATTTAGGCTCTGTCCCAGACTTCGAGACTTACGAGGACGAATCGGGTCTCGAGATCATCACAGAGCGACTGCATCTTACCTACGACAGACAACCATTCAGCTCCTCCGGATTAGTCGTTGATGTGAAAGGAAAGATCACCAATTGGGGAAGTCAGTGGCGGTTCGGCATAGATGAGAATCTCTGGGAAGGCGTGGAGAACTTTGGTGGAACAGCAAGGACTTTGGATGGTGTGGATGGCAGATGTAAGTTAGAAGGGGGCATCATCGGTCGGGTAGGATATGCGACCATCGATGATTCGGTAAGTATGCTTTTTGATGGGAATGGATGGGTTGGGTCAAGAAGACCTGGCGGCACCCAAGGAAAGCGGATCGACGGGTACTTGTTCGCCTATGGCTTGAGTTACAAGGAAGCTATCAAAGCTTTCTACGCAGTCAGTGGAAAGCAGCCAGTGATCCCAAGGTGGGCGTTGGGAAATTGGTGGAGCAGATATTACGAATATCGGGCTGCGGAATACCTGAGCTTGATGGATCTTTTCCAACAGGAGAAGATACCTCTGAGCGTTGCCGTGCTCGATATGGATTGGCATTATGTCCATGAGGACAGAGTCACCACTGCCGGTTGGACAGGATATAGTTGGAACAAGCAGCTGTTCCCGGATCCCAAGGGTTTTTGCGAAGCATTGCACGAGAGACGGCTGAAGGTCACCTTGAACGACCATCCTGCCGATGGCGTACACGCATTTGAGGACGTATACGAGACAATGGCGAAGTTCATGGGTTTCGATACCAGCCAGAAGAAGCCCATCTTGTTCAACCCGACAAATAAAACATTTTTCGACGCATTCTTCGATGTGCTACATCGCGAGCTAGAGGAAAATGGAGTGGATTTTTGGTGGATAGACTGGCAGCAGGGAACGTTTTCGCGAATTCCAGGAATCGACCCGCTGTGGATGTTGAATCACTTTCATTTCCTGGACAATGCAAGAGATGGCAAGAGACCCATCATCTTTTCGAGGTATGGAGGACCAGGCAGTCATCGATATCCCATTGGGTTCTCTGGAGATACGAGAGCTTCCTGGGCATCGCTTGACTTTCAACCCGAATTTACAGCGACAGCTTCGAACATTGGGTATGGCTGGTGGAGTCATGACATCGGCGGCCACATGCTTGGTGCCAAGGACGACGAGTTATCCACTCGGTGGTTGCAGTATGGTGTCTTCTCGCCAATCATGCGATTGCACTCGACTTTGAGCGAATGGCAATCGAAAGAACCATGGAATTACAGGACCGAGTTCGAGGAGATCATGAAAAAGTTCCTTCGCTTTCGCCACAGAATGATCCCCTACCTATACAGCATGAACGTGAGAGCAGCAACCGAAGACGAGCCACTAGTCCAACCTTTGTATTGGCAGTATCCCCGAGCTCAGGACGCACAGCACAACAAAAATCAGTATTTCTTTGGTTCGGAGCTGATGGTTGCACCAATCACCAAGCCACGACATCTACAGACTGGATTGGGCACCGTCAAGGCGTGGCTGCCACCTAATGGAAGATACGTTGACATATTCACGGGGACGGTCTATGATGGTGGCCGAATATTGAACCTATATCGGCAACTGACCGAATATCCAGTGTTTGCGTCTGAGGGATCCATCGTTCCTCTTGACGCTGCAGAGGTGCCGGTGAATGGAGGGACAAATCCCAAGGATTACGAACTCTTCGTCGTGGTAGGCAAGGACGGCAAATTCAGCATTTTCGAAGACAGCAGAGACGATCCTGAAGACAGAAACACAGGTGGTCAAGCGTACGAACAGCGACAGATCCCAATCACGTGGACACAAGCGGAAGGATGCTTGCGGATTGGCCCTGTTAAATCTGACGTTGGAGCTGCCGATGCCGAACCGAGGAGGAATTGGAAGGTTAAATTCATATCTTGCAGCGGAATTGAACTCAAGAACGTGGCTATTGTTGACTTTGACGTCGGGATAAGTATGGATCGATCCATGGCGGGAGGCTTTACAATTAACATCACCGACGTCCCATCGGACAAGGAGGCCGTGATCGAGATTGGCAAAAACCCTCAGCTGGATATCCTTGATATCAAAGAACCTGTCCGCAGCATGATCAATGGCTTTCAGTGTAGGTTCGACATCAAAGACAAGCTATTCGAGTGTATCAAGGAAGATGGCCTGTCTATTGCGGCGAGAAGCAGTCGGCTGTTGGCGGTGGAGGTTGAAGAGAAGCTGGTTGGTCCTGTGTTCGAGCTACTTCTGGCGGATTCGAGGTTGCAGCATGTGTCTCCCTTTATGCCGGATGGATCATTACAGTAGTGGAAGTTGCAGAAGATACAAGGTCAATAGGTCAGATGTGATGACAGGCCAGAGAGTCGGCAGGAGTTAGGTATTTTCCCTGCATCGGCTAATAGTAAAAAAGACTTGAATGAATGAGGCTTTTCAACCAGAAAGGCCTTGAAGCATCTGTAAGGCTCAATTTCTTTTCCTTGACAAACACTCTATCTCATCGGGATATGGAGTACGGAGTACGGAGTAACGTCGGAACAAATAGGCGTGATCTGAGCCTCGGTATCTCGGCAGACGCGGAGGAGGCTAGTGTACGCTAAACCCCGCACTATGCAAGGCACATGGCAGCAAAACGTCAGTTGTGGAATCAAAAAATGCACCTCCAATTCAAGCAGAGACCAAAAACATGTGAACGACGTTTGGACTGTGGTACTCATGTCAGTGCGCCTCGGGCGAGGAGGCAGATGTCCATGTCACACGCCCACAATGGAGAGACTTGGAATGCGAAACGACTCTGCTTGCTCTCCTTTATTTCGAGGTTGTGGATTGCTTGCTACCAGAACAGAGCTGCAGTACCTGTTCTCCTACAAGCTTCTGTGGTCACTTCCGCCCGTCCACTCTAGTTGCCAGTAGTAGATGCGAATGCTGTCCAGAGTCTAGCCTCTTGGCCGACAATACTCCAGTCGCGAAATGTTCTGATGGAATTCGAGGCTACTTTGTTGAACTCCTTGTCTTTCTTCTCACTTGCAGTGCTCCCTTGAGTGGAAAGACCGTACTGATTTCGTGCCAAGTCGTGTGCAATTGATCACATCGATCTGGACGGACCAGTTCTGAGTAGCTTCCTTGCGGAGCTCGTGACAGCTTGAATTAGCTTGAGCATCGCGATTCCCCATCATGTCGGCGAAGAGCATGAAAAGCGAGGGTGCGAAACAGCCGGCCACCGCAGCCACGAATTTGATTGGTAGGCCACTGGACATTTGGGTTGCCGTAACACTCGAGACTAACATTTTAATGTAGCTGGAGGCGGTGCTGGTATGATGGAGGCTCTTGTCTGCCATCCTCTAGGTTAGCGAAGAAGAGGAAATTTGACTTAAAAATCTGAAACGCTGACCAAGTCCAGATACAATCAAGGTTCGAATGCAGTTGTCGAGGAGGAAACGAGCACCAGGAGTAAGCACGATAATCAACTTGCACTCTATTCGACACTAACAACTATATTAGGCAAAACCAAGAGGTTTCTTCGAGACAGGACAGAACATTGTGAAGAGAGAAACCGTCTTTGGACTGTATAAAGGTCTGGGAGCTGTCATGAGCGGTATCGTGCCGAAGATGGCAATACGCTTCACATCCTATGAATGGTATAAGCAGTTGTTAGCAGACAAGGACGGGATTGTCAGTTCAAAAGCCACGTTTCTTGGTATGTTGCCTCTACTAATGTCAATTGAAGGAAAAGCTAGCGCTTCCCTTGATACCAAGTAAGCTGACGCTCTTCTCCCCAAGCCGGCCTCAGCGCAGGCGTCACCGAAGCCGTTGCTGTCGTAACCCCAATGGAAGTGGTCAAAATCAGGTTACAAGCACAATACCACTCGCTCTCCGACCCTCTCGACATTCCCAAGTACCGCAATGCCGTGCATGGACTCTTCACCGTCCTGAAAGAAGAAGGCATCGGCGCCCTCTACCGCGGCGTGTCCCTCACTGCCCTCCGCCAGGGTACCAACCAAGCAGTTAATTTCACCGCCTACACCGAGCTGAAACAATGGTTGCAGAATTTTCAGCCTGCGTATCACCATAATAAAGATTTGCCGAGCTATCAGACTATGGTGATTGGGCTGATCAGCGGGGCGATGGGACCGTTCTCGAATGCGCCAATCGATACGATCAAGACGCGATTGCAGAGGACACCTGGAGAGCCGGGTCAGACGGCTGTTAGCAGGATCGTGCGAATCTCAAGGGATATGTTCAAGCAGGAAGGGGCGAGGGCGTTTTATAAAGGGATCACACCGAGAGTCATGAGGGTAGCGTAAGTTGAATGCATTCGTTATTCGGTTCGTGGAAAACACGCAAAGCTGACTAGGCAAATGTGGATTACAGACCAGGTCAAGCAGTGACGTTTACCGTGTACGAATTTCTGAAAAATAAATTGGAGAAAAGCAATCTTGCTTTTGCTGGTGGGAAATATGAGGAATAGATCTGGCGAGAGACATGGGTAGGAGCTTCTGGTTTCTGCACTGCGTTTGGAGTCTAAAGCTGCGATACTATACATCCTTGCACGGGCATCGACTTTTCGTATTGCTGAAACCATATCCAGCAACTTCGACCAACGCATCTCCGAGCCTCCCTTTCTGCGCAGCGTGGACCAGCCTTGCGAAGTTACTTGCCTCATTACACCCAGCTCAAAGCACGCGCTTCTGTTCAGCGGAAGATGGCTAAAGCCTATCCCGAATTTGTTTTGTGTCCCATCCTCCTAACGCCATTTGCACTTAGGTAATCTAGAAGCAGGTGATCGGAAGGTTGGTGAAAATCGTACGGAGCTAATTGTTGTAGGGGCAGAGTCTGGTAAGTAAGGAATGATGATAAGTAGTAAGGTCTAGCCTCGGGTTTGCACTGCATACTGGTGTTGATAAATGCTGCTCTGTGCTCATGTTTACCTCTACATAAATACTTGTAGCTGTTCGAGAGTCCCACGTAAAAAGGTTTGTAGTTGAAGGTTTGTTTAATTAGTCTAGGATCATTTCATGCACTGGCTCTCCATGCCAGCCCTCATTGCTTGCAGATTTGTTGTATCTGGTTCTGCCCTGCGTAGCCTACAGCGGATTCGCTTGTATGACCTAGACCACGGCTTGATGACTTTTCGTGGTTCTTTACGTTTCCAGGAGAACGAAGGACAAGAAAAGAAAAAGTCGCTTCGCAACAGGATTGGCATTTTCTTACCCCCTCTGAAATCAAGCGAACGAATTACCATGCCAACGCCGCTGTCGGGTTTTGATATAGTACGATTGGGGGGCGAAGAATTGAATGAGGAGGATGTGCAAGCATCTTGACGTTCGTTGACAGGCGTTGCGTGCACGAGTGCGGGTTCCGACCAGCTCTGCTTGCGGAATTGCTCCAGCAGCAGGCAATGGAACGTAAGTGGCAGCCTTTACAGCTTCGACGCTTTGAAAAGCTGTCAGGCAAGATGCAGGAAAGGGCTGTAGTTAGTCTGCAACGTCGGCACCAATCTTAGCACTGGTTGTACTATGTAGGTGCGCTCCACGGATGAAAATGCTCGGACTGTTGTATCGGCTGTTTCAACGATGAGCAAGTCTTAATGGTTTCTGTATCAGCCCTGTCAGAATAGGCTGCTCTGAGAAGCCGTCTAAGTAGGATTCTTAACCAGTGACAGGTCTTTTCAAATCAGGCATCGCTCAAATATTTTTATGTTTTTGATTATGCACCGGAGTTCTTTTTGATCGTCCAATTTAACTAGCATTTTCTAAAGCCTATGACTAAAACAACAAACCGTTGGTCGTAACAGCCTTGTAGGTAAAAATGCCATCGCCTTGGCATCCTTGACACCTTCCACCAAAATCTCAATTAAGCCCTAGAATCGTTGGGCTAATGATAGCTGTGCTTGGGGGCTTAAAGTCTGAGTGGGTAAGGCATTTCAACATCCAAAGGCCAGGAGTTACGGGGGTAAAGGTGTGCTTAGGTACTGTCACTATCTCCTTCCAAATGACTTCTTTGAGGCATGTAATGCCAGGGCCACAGCATTCATAATACGTGTCTTCGTAAAGACATCTGACATCGTCTTAGCACTAAAAGTATTTCCATCAACGTTGTAGCATAAAAGATAGACGTGCAGCAGGTAGAAGAAATGGCTCTGTTCGTTCAAAAAAAAGGTGCGCAGGGCGCAGAAATAAGTACAAGTTTGCTGTACGGCACAGCGAAGATTAGCTCAGAAATTGCAGCAGAAACTGACCAATCGAAAGCAAGAAAAACACAGGGATAATGCGTACGAAACGCGGCCAATGAGCGCTCCTGCCGTTCTACACAATGAGACCTCTTATTTCGAAAAACGTTACGGAGTACAATAAATATAATTATTTAATTTTAAAGAAAAAAAAGAATTAAAAATTCTAGGAACAGTCCATAGTCTCAGCATGCTCTGCGCTAAACAGCAAGATCCATGCAAGTAACTCCATTAATACTGACTCGGTCCAAAGTAATCGAAGCGCCAGCTGTGAAACAATCCATCGCTCCATCCAATGATAGCTCCCCGAAGTCCAGCACTCTCCAACTGCGCCGAGTACAGTTTCGGCGTTACCGACTTGCTCACCAACCAGACCTTGTGGGTAATGCCCGGAGGCAGGTCGTCGGCGTAGAGCTTGCCAAAAACCAGCGTGACCAGCAACACTGCGATGCCGGTGAACATGGTAAACCAAGGCCGCCGCATCTTGACGCCCAGAGGTTTCCAATCCGAGGCCACGATGGAGAGAATCAAGATGTCCGTTACCTCGCATGCGATGCTGAACGCGGTACCGATGACGGTGCCACGTAGCCACCGCTGCTGCCAAATGCCAGGAAGGGCAATGCAGCCGATCCCCTTCCTGAAGCTTTGGTCGATCTCGTAGAGGTTGCATTCCCCGTCCCGGACTACCAACCCAAACGGCTGGAAGATTGGACTACACCAGCGAACTTTGGGAGGCTCTGATGCTTGCGAGCCCTTGCAGGCGTGATAGAGCCCTAGAATCTGGAGCACCAAAACGTGCAAGAGGAAGAGTGCCGCGGTAACGGCCACGGCAACTCGAGTGTCTTTCCACAACGGTTGGTTGACGAGTTCGCGGAGCTGTTCGTCTGAAAGGGGATCTACGCCTTGTTTCTCGAAACGGAGATTCTCTTCGTTTCGAGCTCGAGACAGAGCTGCAAGTAGGGTTAGAAGTGGCTCACGCATTTCAATAGGAGCGTATTAGGATGGAACTTACCATCATCGGTTTCCATTCTACCAATTTGGCAGCAAAATCGCAGCCATACGAGGCGCCCTTCGTTGACCAGGAACAAGACCTGAGACATGCTGCCGCAATCAATGACCAACATTATAGGTGTCCATACTAGAATGTTTTCTGGTTCAAACTTGGTCGACACGTATGCGAGTGTGTAGATGACGTTCGTTGAAAATGTAACGATCAGACAGAGAAGCTGGATGTTCTCCCACCGAACGACTCGAATGATGACGGTCGGAAGGTGGAAAATGAAGACAATGACGGTGTATATCCATGGCAGCAATGCCTGTTCGTCTGGTCGCAGGTAAGATTCCGAGAGCGAGAGGATTCCTTCTTCGGCCAGGGCGGACCAGGTTGTGGACGTCCCGTTGATCACATCGTTATCGTTGGCACAGAACCTGTCAAGTCCGTTTCCACCTGCGGCCTGTGCAGAAGTCGGTTCGAGGAGAAAGAATAGAAAACCAAGGACAATGATGAAATGATGGAAGCGAGTGAGGGTCCACATTCAAGGAGTCTTCGATAATGGAAAAGGCCCTTGAAGGTATGAGCGTGCGAGTCCAACAGCGAGGTAGTTTCGAATTGGGTGCATGGGTAACGAAGTGTTTTCGTGGAGAGGGGTAGGTGGGCCTGATGACAAGAAGAATGGAGAATAAGGATGTTTGGATACGGTATCAACATGCGTCTTGCAAGAGCTGCCTGCTGACTTTTCCTCAGCACGAGGGGTGATGGTCTTTATACATCCTTTGGAAGCCTGCTTGGTGCTATGGTGCAGCAAGTCGTGAGAGGTAGCTGACCTTATGGGGCTGTCACCGATCTGGTGGGGGCTTTGCACGTGGTAAGTGCCGACGGACTAGTCCGTCGAAACGTGGGTCTGACAGGCCATGACAGGCCATGACAGGCCTTTGATGTGGCTTGTGCATCCAGTGAATGGGAGATGGAATAAAACAAAACAGAACTACCAAAAGGGAGAACAGGGTGGGCGGAGACCACGACCACCAACAGACCCCAATGTCCCATGGCTCCCAACGATGCCCTAAAGATATTTGGATGTTTTGACGTGTCTCAACGCGATAGGGCTCACCCAGTAGTCGGGATGGTGCTTGCTTGCATTAGTAGGCTCATAGCGAGCAACAAAATGTGCTAATGTTAGCTGAAACCACCCCGGGAACGGGAAGGGAACAGGAAGGGAACAGGAAGGGGGCCTCAAGTACCGTTACATCCGGTGCTAAGAGCAGCTAGTTCTTATCACCGGGACACGTTCTTATAATTTGTCACTGTGAAAGCTTGCCCCTGCCTCCGTCTCCCAGACGGGCTTAGTGGGTTGCGCCACACATGCCATGCTCGAAATGCGCTCGAATGCGCTAGACGTTGACTAAGCAGACATTGTCTCACAGCATTGATTTAGTCATCGTCCAAGCCCACATAGAAAAGGGACGCATCAACCACTCCACCAAAAGGACAGCGGTTTTGGGGTTTCGAACCTAATTAGTAGATATACTTTTCATAACCGACTAGGCAAGCTTATTCTGTGTGTATTCATTCTGATGAGTCAAATCATTCATCTGACTTCTCTCGAGCATAGCTACTCTGTACGTAGTATATATCCGCAGACACCTTTTAGTTTTCTCAGCAGCCAAAGCGCCGCCGGAGAAACACACAAATAGTAATAGATGTACCGCAGCGCAGAGGGTGAACTGAACTCCAGGTAGCAGAACTCGGCCCAATTGTCGCCGCGGTCCTTTGGCCCAACATGAAACACTTCCCTCTTTTTGGGGGGGAAGGCGGGGGCCGAAACAAAAATCTATACCAGGTACCTTACTTAGCCGGCCTTAAAGCAAATTACGAGACCCCCCTAGCCTCTTCTCGCCGACTCACCGACTCACCGATCACCGAGACACCAACACCGACATCCCGCTCCTCATAGTAGTCTTTCCCACAAAATCCCTTCTCCTTTCTCCAACTGCATGTCGCGACAAGTAGCATGAACATGATACTATCTAATGCACATTGTGCCCCGCACATACACATGCACATGTGGCTGTCGGGTTGGGTCCCCTGGCCGCTGATCGTAAGGGACTAGTAGGCAGGGGGCGGGCATCAGAACAGCAGGGAACGAGGCGGTAGTTTTGGAAAAGAGAAACAAAAGACTTCTCGGGGGGGACGGCTGAGCCCATGTGAACGATGGATGAGCAGAATATCTTCTTGCCCACCGCGCGCGCCGTCTCCCGGCCAAAATCCAAATTGAATCTGATCATTAACAATAATTCTGTTGCAAAAGGGCGTTGCGAATGCTTCGGAGCTGCTGCTGCTTCGACTGCTCAAACAGCTACAAGAGGGCCGTACGATGGATCTAGCATACATGATCTCGATACCAACCCTGCAGCTGAGCTTCTTCTTTTGATTCTTTCAAATCGATCTCACAGACATCGAATCTTTTTCTTGGATCAAATACGACTTCTTTCATGACAAAACTTCATCTACTGGGTCAGTCATATTTTGAATTTGGGAAACAGAAGAATAAGTTCCAATCAATGCTCAAACAGGTCTATAGCTAGTGAATAATAGAGGGTTTTCTGTCATTTATGTTTAGATACTTGTGGATTTAGTTATGGACAAACCAGAGCAGCAGCAGCAGCAGCTCCCGAAGCATACAGTCATAGGAATGAACCAACTCCTCGTCGTACATAGTAGGCAGATACCAATAGATACGTAAAGCAATTAGTACCACATCATTTCTCCCGAAAGCTCCTCAACGTGCTCAAGGCTCTTCAGCCACGACGAAATCCTCCGGATTCAGGTCCGGCAGACCAAGTCCGATTGGTCTACTAAGTTTTTTACTAGAGCAGCGAGGGTATTTGTGTTGTATCGACCATCGACATCATGCAGGGTGTCCATTTGAATCAAATTGCGTCAAATAAACCAAATCAAATGCTTGGCAAATAAATCAAATCCGTGCTTTCATCAAATCAAATCAGGACTTTAGATTTAACAAGTTAGTCAAATAGAGGTCTTGGCGGAAAAGTAAATTATTTTGAAATATTCAGGGTTGTTTCAAAATATTTACTTACTAACATTTGACTCCATTTGACAAATGAGTCAAATCAAATCAAATCAACCTCTGGGATTAGGTAAGCAAATCAAATGGGGGTCGAGATTTGGTTTATTTGATTTGATGGATACCCTGTCGACATGATCGTCACCTCGAGCGCCTTTCCATTCATTCCATGCAGTCCGAAAGCAGGAAGAAGGGGGCCCCCACTGTCACTGGTGTGATTTTGGAAGATGCCTAGCAAGCCCGATTGATTCTAGCTCGTTTTGCAGGCTATGGCACGCCCAGAATCCCGAAGCTGGTGGAGCTTATCGGCTGTGAAAGTGGTCAACGAGGGCAAGACAACGGGAGAACTCGAAGGCCATTGGCGATGGCAAACATAAAGTGAGCAAGATCCCCGAGTTGATGAGAAGGACATGCAATCTCAACTGCGGCGTCTCGGGCTAGGTTTAATCCCTTCATTTTAATCAATCTGGCTCCTAGGCAAGCCCTAGCGAGTACTACAACATGCTACATCGTTCGTACCGGCATTTGGAAAAGTGATTCTCACACCATCTGAACTTTTCCTAGTGCCTTAGTCAAGCCTAATCTCGTCACCAGCTACTCTTTGCAAACGCTCCCGCCTCCACCTACTAAATCTGTATATAAGGTTCCACCCAAAGCCGAAGGCCCCCAGAGGATCACGACCAGAAAGCCCCGCCCGTAGCGCGAGATAGCCGAAGAACAAGACGTTCGACACCGTCCAGAAAATGGCTCCGAAGAAGAAGACGGACGATAGTATCCTGAAAGAGGGTGAAGTCTTTAGAAGTTTCTTATAAGTAGAAGGATCTACCAATACCATCGCAACAACTCCGAATGTTACGTATGCTGCCACAAAGCCTCCAAGAATCATAAGACCAATAAGAAGCCATAGCGAGCGGACGCCGGCAAGTGCTCTCGAGCGTTCGCTGTCTCTCCGTTCAGGCCGATCTGCTTGAGTCGAAGAATCTGATGAGCCATTTAGCCAGCGGGACTGGACCCAAGAGGCAGCGATGACGGCGACTCGAAAAAGGAACTCGAAGAACATTGACTTGAATAATTGTTCTAAAATAGGGAATGCTTTCCTTACATTCCCACATAGGTTGATGACTCAAATGCTGATCAGGCCCAATATTGTGGAGCCAATGTAGCCGTCGCGTTTTGGGTTGAGGCAAGGGAAGGTGGAGATGGAATCTTTTACTGTGAAGGCAACGCCAGGGATGAGAAAAATCGCATAGATAGAGCAGAGGAGAATGGTTTCCATGCCGTTTGTTGGGAGCAGCGTATTGACATGGCCTGTGCGGTCAGTGGGCTCGAACGTATAGAAGCTTAAAGCCCACTTCCGTTGCAGCTGTTTATTGACAATTTTGTGTGTGTATTTGTATTCCAGATTAGCAAGGCAGAGTCGAATGAGGAAGACGAAGACACCAGACAAGATGGTCTCGATGCATGCCTTGGGGCCAACTGACAGCCCTGCTACGCATGCATAGAGCATTGTCATAATGCCGTTCCAGAAACACATTAGCAGTGCCAGCGGCATGAACATATATAGTGCCTGGGCAAGCCGGGCGCTGGTTTCCATGAAAGGAAAGAATTTCGAGCGAGACCAATTCAGAGTTGGCCAGTCCGCCATACCTGGTGGGAGGATCAGCGCAAACTTTGATTCGTCCTCAGCTGATCACTTACCCATGTCAATAACAAGAGGATGACGTGGATGAATATCAGAAGATGATATGGGACTCACCACCCGGAAACGTCTGGATTTGTCGACAAAATCAGGACCACTAGCTCCTGGTAGGTGTTCACAAGTTGCAAGAAGCTCAGCGGCCTTTATACCGCCTGTATTGTCCGGAGCTTGAGAGTCAGAATGCGATTGTAGAGGCCTGGCACGTTTCCATTGGAAAGTTTTGGCAAACTCCACGTGTAGGCCTTCATCATCATCACGAAGAGCAATAAAGCAAATACCGGTGCCATTGCATGGTCCGCTTCCGGCAATTATAGGATTCTGGAATAAGAAAAGCACATTGACCATAGTTGTTTCATGAACCTTCGAACTCGAATCGGCAAATTTAATGTAGTAGGACCAGGACTCGCGAGTATCATGAAGGCCGATTTCGCCACATACTAGGATAGGCTGGTGGCAATAGAGAAGTTCCACATGATGTATTTCTGTCAGTCGGAAGTGGCATGAGTCTGTCGATTCAAGCGTACCCATATCCGGGCTGAGCAGATTGAAGTCGTCCTTGGACGTGGGGAACTTGGGGCACCATTCCTTTGGCGATGAGTCCATTGGAGTGAACAGTATAGATGTTGGTAGAATAGGCTGTGTTCTGAGCAGTGCATGCATTCTTTGGTGGCTCGCAAGTTGCAAGACCTCTCCTGCGTTGCAATCAACGAACGTTGCCAGAATTGCAGCAATATCTTCGGTCTTCTTGGAACTTCGATGACAAAGCTCATTCCAGACCCTGATAAATTTCTCATGCCGCGGCATCAAAGTCGTGTCAAGGAATTTAAAACAAGGATCCACGGCAAACATCTCCGACATGGGTTTTGGCTCGACTTGATCTACCTCTCTCTTCCACAAACCCTGAATTGTAGTGCGCTTGCAAAGACTGTGCTTGGGGACCAGTCTTTCATAGCCGAAGACCCCGTCTGCAAACTTCAATTTGATATCTACAGCAAGAGCGCCTTCGTGCAAAGTCCAGCTCCTTGCCATCCAAGGCGAACAAAACAATGCAAGATCGAATTCTCTGGGCTCAAGATCTGTAGCCCTCAGGTCTCGGAGTTCAGGATCGATGACCAGAACAGACTTTGCTCCAGCATAGATACGTGACATCATATAGATGGCTTTCGTTTTCAAGGAATCGTCGTGCACAGGTATGCAGAGCGAATCAAGCCAGTAGTAAGATGATTGACTAGTTCTGATGTGGCCGAGGACGCTGCGGGTACTGAGATTGCGGTGCATATCGTAGAGCTGGCACGAATACAAAGCATTTTCGTGAAAGTTGCCTAGTCCACCTGCCCAGACATGAGAGATAGCGGCGTAGTTTGTCTTCGAAGTTCCGTCAATAATTTCGATCACAAGTACACCGTTGGACGCCAGCTTGCTATGAATCAGCGATAGGCGATCGTTCCGCACCAATTCATGTAATCTCGTGTAATCAATGCGCATCACCGAGCATGCTCGGTTACCGCACGAAGTGGTGTGCTGCATGACATAAGTATCGCTATCAATGTTGAATGCTGAGCAATAGCGGTCATGACAATCGGGGTGTGAGTAAGCCTTGCAGACAGGAATGCCGAGAAGTCGGTACGTGTTTAGTGAAGATAGTTTGGTCCTTTCCAGAACGGTTGGACAGCGGCCCATGAGTCGTAGGCCTGCAGCTAGGCTGCGTGAAAGCCGTCGGTGAGAAGGTATCAGATGCTGTGCTCTTTCTACTTCATGAGAAGTCTCTTCAAGTCCTTCAGCAAGTGTTTCGCAGAAGTAATCGAAAAGCAGTAATGTTGACAAGAACACAGAGCAAAAGTCGCAGTTCCAAGGATTGCAGTCAGTGCCATTTTCATCGCATCGGTAAGAGAGACTCATAATCCATTTACGTGATATACGCAATGTCTGAATCAGTTCGGCAAGTACGGTCTTTCCAAGGTCTGAGAGTGAACCAGATCTGAGCAGTCTCCGTCGAGCGCAAGAAAAGGTTTTCTTGAGGTAACTTGAATCAACGAGTCTACGAGGGTCCGAATCTTTGATGAAGTGGTCGATATTGAAAGGCTGTCCAACATCATCAGACAAGATGCGAACGAATCCGAAGAATAGCCATGCCTGGCACCGCCGTGCGGATTCCAGTAGCGGTAAATTGGGATCCAGGTCCCAGTCCATCAATGCCGGCCAGGCGCTGAGCTGGTCCAACTCGCTGCAGATAGTGGTGTCATCGTCTAACAGATACGGCACAGTAGGTCGAGGTCGACCCAGGTCGTTCCTCCATGTGAGATGGTCCATATCATAGCAATTGCGTTTACACGACTCGCAGGCTCGAGCTTACCGGTACTGGCGTTAATAGCGGGTAAGGAAAGGGAACATAGTCGTCGTTTTAGTAGGGTTCAGTGTAAAAATGTACTATCATAGATACTTTTGCGTAGCTGTAAGATCACTTGAATATATTGTCTTAGTGGTACTCTCTTAAGGGGACCCGAAGGACCGGAGGACCGGAGCTGGGTGCCAAAATTATTGATAGTTGTCACTGATCCAGATTTATATCTTTTAATTAAACAATTGTAAGACTGGCCCAAATAGAAAAGAAAGAAGGTGAGTAATCATGATCATTGATTCAGAAGAACAGTTCTTCATCAAAGATGCGTGAATCTGAGATGCTTTGCTCTGATCTTCACGACAAGCGGCCCCATCGACGGATAGATGAAAATGGAAACAGGCTGCATGGCGGGCACATGCGCTGTCCAGTTGTGAATGGCTCGACCTTTTTGCATGCGTAATAGTAGCGATGGTCAGACAGGATGAAGGATGAAGGACGGAGGATAACGGATGATGGATGACTGATTGGATTGCAGGCAAGACAAGTATTTACTAACTAACTTACATATAGCCTAGCGTTCTCATCTGCTTACGTAGTACCTAGCCGTGGCCCAATGGGTGGAGCCCCTGGGGGCCCCACTTGCAGGCGGGTACGCAGACTGCTCCCTAGTCGCTCTCTCATTGTGTACTCCGTACTACGTACGAGTCGGTCCCTTGATAGACTTGGGCGGGGAAATATAGATTTTGACTGCAATACCATCCCGAGCTATGAAAGAGTCATTCGGAGGGCCTGTATCCATTTGACTGGGGACTCCGGAGTAGACGAGCAGACAACCTAAACTGGCACCTCTAACACCCACAGCCTTCTCAGCTCCAATCCATCTAGAAGTCCCCTCACCTCTGCGATACCATCATGCAGTCCGGAATCACAGGCAAGACCCCTGCTCAATATCTTGACCGCTGCAACCATCAAGCTAAAGCCATATTCTCCAGCCTCGACCGAGCTCCACGACGCCTTCACCACCTTCCTCCGCGACGGCGCCCTCTTTGCCCTGCCCATCACCATCACCTCCGAGTCCCTCACCCCGCTCCCAGCGCTCCCTTTCGAGAATGACTCCTTCGAGTCTTCCCTCCCCAGCCTCCAACCCCACGTTCAGCCCAAAACGCCCAAGTATATCATCCTGCGGCGGAGCCTAGAGGAGGGAGGGGCAGGCGATGCTGGTGCCTTGACCGTGGTCACATATGTACCGAGCGATGCCCCCGTGCGGGCAAAGACGCTGTTTGCCAGTACGAGGACGACGCTGATCAGGGAGTTGGGGAGGGAGAGGTTTGAAGGACGCAATCTCTTCCTCACAGAGAGGAGGGAGGTGCTGGACCCACAGGAATGGAAGGACCGAGATCGGGACGAGGATGCGGGAGGGGATGAGGAGGGGCCATACACGAAGGAGGAGAAAGAATTGAGAGGGGTGAGGAGGGCGGAAGATGAAGAGAGGTATGGAGGGACTAAAGGCAGGGATATCTTAGGGACTAGCGGTGGTGGTGGTGGTGGTGCTAGCGGTAACGGAGTTAAAACGCTGGGATTCAAGGCGAAGATGGATGATGCAGCAAAGCAAGCTTTAGCAGAGATGGCCAGGGCTGTTCAAACTGAAGGAGGAGGGGGCATGCTTGTGCAGCTGGTAAGACGAGCAACTGGTTCGCTATTGACATCCCGGTTCTGACTGTGTTACTTCCCCAGTCCATCGACCTCGCCACCGAAATACTCATCCTCTCTTCCTCATCCACTGATGTCTCACCGGCCGATCTTGCACCGAAAATTCCGGCCGACAGCCCTTCATACACCTTCTATCACTATCCGTCCTCGACATCCATCATCTTCATCTACTGCTGTCCCGCTTCACCGACGATCCGAGAGCGCATGCTGTATGCCAGTATGCGAGGAAGTGTAGTGCACGTGGCACGAGATGAAGGGGTGGAGGTGAGCAAACGTATCGAGATCGGTTCGCCAGATGAGATGGGTGAGGAGAGGCTGAGGGAGGAAACGGCCGCTGCTGGTAGTGCTGCTGCGGACGACGGCGGCTCCGTTGCGCTCAAAGCAGGATTTGCTAGACCCAGAAGACCGGGCAAGAGGTGACGCTCATTGACTCTTCATTCTCTGTCCTGCTCAGCTCTTCCCCGTATCCAAACCATAGACCAGACCATCAACTAGACAAGCCACTCCTCCAATCTCCCACCCCAACCCAGTAAATCCACCTCTCAATGCCCCCCCGCCCCCCTCCCCCCCTTCTTCTGATAAAACAAATCGGTCCTCGAGCTCCCCAGATTCACAATCTTCGGACAGCCATCGCGGTCCTTCTCGAGGCGCGTGCACTCGAAGCAGTAGAAGGCGTCGCTGATGCCCTCGCCGCCGCACACAACGCACTTGTTCTGGTAGTTGCCGAACGAGCACTCGTCGCAGATGCGCGTCAGCGTCGTCGGCCGCACGTACGAGTCGCACACGGGGCACTTGCCGTCGCACTTGTCGCACAGCCGCCCGATGTTGGTGCCTGCCAGCTTGCGGCACATGACCAGGTCTGGGTGGTGGCGCGACATTGGGGCGCGGGGGCTTTGCTGGTTTTTGGGTGGGGGGTAGATCAAGGGAATTGAGGTTGGTTGGGGAGAAGGATTTGAAAGTGTGTTGATTTGCGCTCTTTGCTGCGAAGATGGAGTCTCAAGGTAGGTTGGTGTTGGTGTAGGTGTCGGTGTGAGTGTGAGTGTGCTGGAAGGTGATAGATTGGTAAGGAAATATCTGAGGTGGTCGATGCCTAGCACTGCTGAGTCAGCATGCTGAATCTCAGCTACAAGCGGCCTTCAAGTCACCGTCAAGCCTTAGGGAAAAGCCAAGGGAGCTCCTTGTCTCAAACGTTCAATTTTCCTTTCTATTCAAACAAAAACAATCTGTACAGACCGGGCACACGCCAACCAATCTCTCCCTCCCTCCCCTCCCTCTCCTTCCCCTCTCCTTC